TGTTAATGTGAATTTGATTAAAGCCAACAGGCTGCGAAATGCAGCCCAAATGGGGGCGACGACTGTCGGGAGTCTCGCGCCCGAGTTTTGTTTTTTTTTTTTTGTTTTTTTTTTTAGGATCAGAGAGCAGATATCATTGGTCGTACCACTCACTTCCAACTTGCAACGCCACTCCAGCGCCAATTCAATTGCTTATTTACAATGTGCTAAAATTGTGTGCCCCGACAATTGTTCATTAAAAACTCGGCACGAAGTGATATTGATTTTTGTTGCCGTTCGCCGCCGACTCTTTTTTTTCGCTGTCCGGTTTGTGGCATAATTAAATGTGGGCACAGCCACAAAAACACGCCAACTTATCGAAATAATAACATTTATTTAAAGCCAATCCGGCCACGTCATTGCGATCCCCATTCCCCGCTGGACTGCACGCCCAGGTCCAGTTTTCAGTTCGATATCCAGTTCGCGATTCAATTGCAGTTCCAGCTGCACTGGGCACTTAAAATTTGCATTTCATTTGGTTTCGGTTGGTGAGGGGGTAGGAATGCAGCTGCGGCAATGCCTTGCCGCTATAATGATGACCTGACATTACTCATACGCCCCGCAAATCGAAAAAGTATCTCTTCTGTGAGACTGCCATAAGTTTACCAATTAGACGAAGGCAGATACACCAACTTGTTTGTCCGAAAATCTGCACTAAAAATTGTTCTCATATCTGAAATTACCTTACCTTAATTCATCAAATTTAAAGGGTTTTTAAATCGTTAAATTGATTTTATATGGATATTGTTTCATGTTCAATTCTACAAAATTTTTAAAACCATCATATAAATGTTTTTTTTTTTTAATAAAATAATGTTTGAGAAATTTAAGTAATAATATGAACTTAAAATTCCAATATTACAATTATTTTATTCATTGGCACTTTGAGAAATATTCTTAAGACTACGTTACTGACCAAAAAATATGCCATCGTTTTTTTTAAACACATAGTTTGTAAAATTTTGTTTAGTGTTTGCACATTTGGTACGCAAAACTGCCAACTTACAACTCGGCAACTGGCGATTGTCGCATTCGTAATGAGTTCTCAGATCCCCCTGGTCGCCATGCAAATTGTCGCCTGTCAGCGTTGCCTGTCGAGTGATAAGCCAAGTCGAGTGCTGAGTTTTCGCCACCGGCGTTGGCCATCAGCCATATATATATATACCATACATATATCGTATAAACCAGCTATCCAGACCACGGCCTGCGGATAGCCGGCTGTCAGGCGATATCTTTGGTCCCTGGTCCCTGGACTTTGGGTGTGGCATGCAACAGTCGACACGAGAAGTCAATTTGGCGGCCGCAACTGTTCCACTCCATTCCGATTCGAAATCGAAATCGAGTTTGAGTTTAGGTTCCCACCAACTGAGCCAGCCCTTCGCTGACACAGAGACCTAAAAATCATCATAAATGGATATTTTTCCACTTTCCACGCTCACTTTCCTTTGACGGTAGCTACCTTCGCCCAACAAAGCTCGCATTTTATGGAAATTAAACCCCCACACCGAACCGAAATCAAATGCAACAATTAAGCGGAGCTTATGGAGGTAGCCAATCAACTGGGAGCCAGCGTAGCCGAGAATTTTGTGATTTGCATATCTAAGGCATTAGCTGAATGGTCGTTTGGTCTTTTGATATCGCTTTGCATAGATTTTCGAGAACTAAAGTATTTATTTTCAGCTGCTCCGCTGTTGTTATTTTTTACATGATGGCAGTGCATTGTTCAAACATTCATCTACCGTTAAGACAGACCAAGAGATGCAAACGAAATCTAAGCTGCATTTAAAATATCCTTTTTATACTATGAGTAAAACCTTAACATCAAACTAATAATTATAATAATTAATTAACTTTACTGGTAATTACTTATACATAGTACATAAAGAAATATTTATTGTCACCAGCAGGCGTAATCTTCAAATTTTTTGGAAGCTAATAAATTAAAGACTAATTAAAGTAATATTTAAATTTAATCAAAATGCATTTAAATTAATTAGGAACTATTTCAAGTCAAATATTTTCCACATCAATTCAAATATTAAATCATGCAACTTAAATATGAAATATAAAATTTGGAATTTAATAATCAAATACTTATTTATACTATTCCTTTCTTTTATCAGAGTATTCTACATGGTAATATATATCATATATTTTTCTTTAAAGTAGATGTAGAGTATGTTAGGGAAATGTCAATTCGAAAGCCTTTCTTGCTTATTGAGTATGCTAATTAGCCCCTAGTTGGCTAGGGTACGAAGGGGGGACAATGTATTCAGTCTTTGCAGTTTGCTGAAAATTAATTAGACTCAATTTGTTGCTCAACCATCAAGACGGACAACAATGGCAACAGCAACAGCAGCGGCAGCGGCAGCTGCATCTTGTTTTTGCCGGACAAATTCTATGCTCATATTGTGTATGGGGCAGAGGAAAAGATACGGACCAAACAAAAAACCCAAAATGTTTGCGCTTACAATTCTCATGTAAATGCCAAAAGTTTCCACATTGTTCAAACGCGATTTGGGGGGAAGGGGGCGGGGTGAAGGGGCGGTGACTTACTAACTTAAACAGAGGCAAACGGTAAACATGTTGCTGTCAACATTTACATGCCAACATGTTGCCCGGCCACCACTTGGCGGCGATTAGAAAGCGCCTCACCCGATAAAAGGTTGGTCCGCAAACGGAGTAACGAGGCAAATTATTAACTGACACTTTGCCGGAGGATCCCCCAGCATTTTCCAAGGTTCCGCTGGACAAAAAAATATTACCCAAATTGGTCATTATCTTCCTGGCATGGACAATTTTTTATTTATTTATATTATTAAATTAAACCAATTATTAAATTGGCTTTTTTTAGCCTTAGAGTTTAAGGAAAAAGTCAAAATTATTTATTAATTTAAAAATCAATCATCATTTTTTTTCTACTTTCAAACGAATTTTAGAGAAATGTCTTTTAATAAATTTTTACGTTCATAAAAGATAAAAAACCAACACCTTATTTAGAGAGTTTTGGGTACAATAATAAAATCAGTTACAAAGCTCATGAATTGTTTTTAATTTCTCAAATTTTGTTTTGCGAAAAGTTTGTTAGAAACCAAATTTTATTGCAATTTAATTCACAGCAATTAAATATGTTATATATAGCGTATACATTTTTATAAAATAATCAAAAATCAAACCAATGCTTATAGAGTGATTTTTAATAAAAGCACCAACTTCTTTGATTATAACAAGGCATAGAAATTTAAACGAGTTTTTCCCTGTGTGAGCCTGCTTCACTTTTGGCTTAATTTATCAGAGCTGAAATGCAATCGGAGTGCAGGTGAAAAATAGACAGACAGGCAGACAACGACAAACTCGCGGACAACACAACTTGGCCACTTGTTATCCACTGCAGAGCTGCAACTGCAACTGCAGCTCAAATAGCAGACTTATACAGATGTCAATTATTTTTGCCCGGAGCGGGAAGTTGACTAGCTCTTCCATTTCGATTTCGATTTAGTTGCGCGCTAGCAATTTTGGATCGCCGCGGATTGGATTCGATTGGGGACGAAATTGCTGGCCGAACTCGTTAGCTCACAAGTTGCAAGTTGCAAGTTGCCAGTTGCCAGTTGCCGGTTGCAACAATCCATCCCAGCTACGTGGCAAGTCATCCAATTGTTGGCTACGAAATCGTTATTATTTGCGGACGCGATGCCTGTAGATGGCCAACGACTTGGATCTCTCGCTCCTTGTCCGCTGGTTGCAAATTATAATTGAATGATTGCATGGCAGCCAAGCGATTTGCTCGTCATTTTCGCCAAGAAAAAAGGGGATCAATTGATATTGATTGGGCCCCTACTTAAAGGTAAAGGTGTCAAAACTATTGGCTTCTAATGGGATGAAATTTAAAACAATTTGGCCCGGCCAAGTTCATTAAATTGTATCCAGAGTGAAGTCCAGACTGATGGATGCCATGTGGCCATGGTCGGGATTAACGTTTCGACATCGAATTTATTTAAAAGACAACTTGCAACAAATAAATAAAGCCTGATATCCAGAGGCTTTGACGATGGAATGCTGCTGCCTGTGTAGGAGACCACGTCGTTGTCGTTGTCGTGGTCGTTGTCCTTCTCCTTTGACGTTCAGTAATGGCAATGGCTTGTTGAAATTCATTCATCAATGTAATCGATCAGACGTGGACGGGCTTTGACATGCCACGTAACATGCTCTTCGTATGTAAATGGAGCCTGAGAGACAGACTGTACTATACCCATACCCACAATGCAACATAAAGTTTAATCAATTTATTGGAAACGAGCTATTGTCTTTGGACTTATGCCTTTCCAGCTTGCCTCGACTTTGACTCAACACAACTCTCGTCTCGATTCAAGTCGGGGCTTATCCCAAGCTTTGCATCTACACTTTCTCCTCTCAGGTTGATATGCTATTTTCTTGGCACCAATGCGGGCAAAGGCCAAGATAAATCCCCTGGATTTGTGTGGGGAGTTGCGTTTTTTGGGGCGGAACCACCGCACCCACTAACTTGGCTGAGTTGTGGCCAAAGTTTGGCATTAGATTATGGTTTCTCCATTTGCTGGATGTCAGCCAGTGGAGAAAATCTTGAAAATAGTTTACCAAATTTTTTTTACTTCGTTTAAAACAGCATCTTTTTAGGATTTGTAACATGTATCTTATTATGAAAGTCTCACTTCTTATTTATTTAATTGTATTATTTAGTAAATTGGTTAAGTTAATATTTTACAATTTTTAGAGTTGTAAAACATATAGAAATAAGAATAAGAATCTTTATCATATTTCAATAATTTTATTTTGACAGATACAATGTAAAAGAGAGAATAAAAGAAATACTTGATTATTATAAAATGTGAAACAAAATAAAATATAGGTGCCCACTTAGTATACGAACAGTTAAAACATATGTCAAAAGTAGTAGGTGTTGATTTTTCGGACCATACGATCATCGCCTTCCAGAATACCCAACATATCTATAGGATAGGCATTTATTATGGGGAGAAAGAGTAAAGGCAAGATCAAAACCATTGCGGAGCCGATACAAAAATGGGATCTAATACCCGAGAGTGAAATGTTGGAACGAGAGGCTAAGTATATAAGCCGCCTGAATGATTTTGGCGTTAGTGCTCAATTAGTAAAGCGTAAGCAATGGATTAATAAAAAAAAAACATTTTTAAATATTAAAAACCCTTTGAGTACAGATGCCCAAAGCGACTTCTATGAACAGGAGGTGGAGAGAGCGGCTAGAGAACATTGGGAACGTCATCTGCGCTGTGATGGACTACCACGTCCCTATCTTCCGGTCGAAATAAGAACATTTATTTCCAAAATGCGGTTCTACGATGAAATCGAATCTAACAATTCAATGGACTGGACTTTGTCGGTGGACGAGCGATCTATATTGAATCAGAATATCTTTCGGGTGGACAAAACGAGAAGTGTGATGAGGCTCAACAAAGATAATCCGGGTGTGCCCTATGGCAATAATGTCCAAATGTGCCTGGAAACATTGAAACAGATGGATATAATGCTGGACAATGAGGCGGAATTAGTGCGAATGACTGCAAAAAGGCAGATGGATATTATAGATGTGGGTTGATATAGTTTTGAATGAAGCAGACATCTAATTACCCCGTTTACTGCAGGTTTATTCGGAAGTCGAGCTGGAAATCGATGATCTTTTTAATCGCCTTACCTATCGGCTATTGAAAATGCAGAAAACTTATATGGAGTAAGTGATTGATTTGCAAAGTGATATATTATCCAAGTATTTTTTTTAGTTCCGAAGATGGTAAAGTGGCTACATGGAGCTACAAGTGTGAGCCCTGGGAGTTGGATATGTGGGGCCTTCTAAATGTCCCTATAATCTTTGAAAATTTGGAGTAAGTTGTGGGGATGGCAATGTTATCTGAAAGAGTTCAACCTCCGAATTCCCCCGTAGATTGCCAGTTATGTTGGCCGAGCTAAAGGCCACGGGCGTTGAAGTCCAAATACCAAGAAGTATTCTTAAAGATTGCGTAACACTTCGAAGTATACACACTAAATTCGACAAAATCTCGCAGAATGCCAAGAGCTTCGAGACACCGGTTGCTACATCGCTCAATTATCCCACCGCTGGAATTGTCGATATTGAGAAATCGGTCGTTGATGAATGGCTAATGCAGCAGGAAATTCAGCAGGAGACACTGAATCTGATGTTGAGCCGGCGACAGGAGTACGAGGATATGATGCAGATCATCGCCGAAAAAACCGAGGCGGCAGCTAAGGCGGCCAAACAAAGTGATAGCGATAAAGCCATCAAAATTATAATACCAAAAGCTCCGAAAGAACCTCCGGCCGTTCCACAGGGCATGTTTCCCGATATCTACAGCGATTTTCTCAGAATGGAGGATAGCCAGTATTTGGGTTACCTTGATGAGGTGTATCATCCAAGGCATCTGGATATGCAGAAATTCGAGGTAGGCTGTTAAACACTAAAACATTGCTCTTTCCGTATTTTTGTAATTTAATTACTGTTGACAATGTTGTGCAGTTTATTTTGTATATCTTACCTTTATATACCTTATATCTTACAAAATTGTCCTTCAAAAGGATTAACGCCCTTTTGAGAAAAGGTGGTTTGCGGGGAAAATCATAGAGCTTCGCATCACAGGGTGCGTTTGAGACGTAATGTAATTCTTCTGGTAATCACGAATCGCTTTTTTTATTTCCATTTTAATTGTAATTAAACAATTTTTTTCGGCGGAAGGCAGTTATTTTATTTTGGCTAAAAATGTCGGTGTTTTTTTAGATTTCCAAAATCTTGATTACCTGTTGACTTATATTTATAAAATGTAAGTTACTTCAGCATCCCACAATATTGTATATTGTAAAATTAAAAAAATAATATAAAAATGTAACCCAAACCCACCCTTAATGAAGCACAACTATGGATTTCTGAAATTTATATATATATATATTAATTTATTATCTAACGATCCTAAGGCCTAGCGGTAGAAATCTTTTAAACGGCTTTTAAGTAACCACAGGATTGTGCAAATAGACTTCAGAAAATATCAACTTTATACTAATTTAGTGATCAAACATATTTACCTGACTAAAAAACCATTCCTGTAGATAAATCTTAGAGACTTCATCATGCTTGGTGGAATCTATGCGATCATGTTCATAAGGCGACCTGACCAAACTCAGTTCCAGAAGTTTAACATTGTTTTGCACGAGGATGGTCGCGTGCTGCACTCCATGCCAGAAATGGTGGCCGAAGTTCAAGGGGAAAATATGCGCAAGTCGAATATTAGCCGAAAGACCAGAGAGACCTTTCGCGGGACCAAAATCAAGCTTGAGGATGACGAACTGCCCTATTTCATCGTGACACTGCAGCTGCCGCAGGATCTGTGCAAGTGGAATGAGCCCGTGGTCTGCCACTTCATGACGGAGCAGGAGCTCATTCCGATCGAATACAAACGCGAAGCCGTATGGGTGCCAACCAAGCAGAGTATCATAAGTCATTCGATACATAACGAGGGTCCAGGTAGTACCATGAATCATGGCAGTCGATTTTCGGTTGACTCTGCCAATATATTTCGGCCCACCATGCGGTCGTTGCTCCGGCAAAGTAAATTGGAATCGGCTCAGATAGCCGAAATTCCCTTGGATGATTTTGATCTGCGTAAGAAATTGAACAATTTGGAGATACGAACCTTGGAGAGACATTGCTTGCCCCGCATTATTTCGACGTTTAAGTTTCCCATAGATTTCCGGGATGAGCTACGGGAAGGGGCAAAGGGGCCGGGCAAAAAGGGTTTGATCAAGCGGACAGAAGCCGAAGAAGTGGTCATTAAGACTAAAAGCTTAGATTTAGACTTCGATTCCCAGGCCAATACCGCGGAACGCTTGTATCCCTTCTTTCCGGAAGTAGATCCTATACAGTATCCCATGCTTGCCGATGATGGGCAACCAGGACCTATCAATTCCTCTACAGCGCTTGGTCTTCTGAAAGCCGTTGACGACATCAAATCGAAATATAAAGAAAGGCCAGTTAACCTTTTCAGTCAGCCCGACGAGCAGGACAAGAAATTGAAGCAAAAAAAAAAGGAAGATGAGGAGTTACCAGAGGGGCAGATGGGCAGACGCAAGTCGAGTAAAATTTCCGAAAAAATGCGACAAAGCTCAAAGGATAAAAAACCCAGCGTCGTTTCGGAAACACCTACGGACGGGATGCAGGCTCAGGACGTGACCCATTGGACAACAAAATACATTAAAGACTCCGTTCTCGATAGAGCAACTAGCAAAATTACGTTTAAGACCGACCGACTGGGATATTTTGGATTAGCCTTCAAGCGGTACGAGCACTTTCCATTTCGCGAATGGTCACTGCAGCCAAATGAGGAAAAGTAAGTGTCTTAATATTTCTCAGCAAATGCTCGGTAATCATATTCCATTTGCAGTCCGGATGAGATAATACTTAGCGTGGACACATTTCACGTCCGTATATTTTTCTACATCACATCGAAAGGAGTGCGGGGATATGTGACCGATCTGATTAAGGGTTACAGTGCCAAGCCTTTTAAATATCTCGAGATTGTGGAGCCTATATCTGACTTTCGTGAAATGCGCAATGTAAGTCTATATGGAGCTGTTTCTTTTTAGTGCAGAACCTTTCCGCAGTTATTCATCAGCAAAAACATCAATATATTTGCCGAGAACGATGCCCATTTCTATATAGAAAATGGATACTTCTCCATGAAGCATGTGGCACTAGAGCACCACACATATAATATCATGGCACTCCACTGCAAGTTGATGAAGTTCTACCGATCTAGCTGGAATCGATTGGCCACACGCCGGGATATCATCTTGGGCATGAAGATTGCCAAGGAAGCCTCTGATTACTCCGAGGTAACACTGAGAATTACCCCCGAGAACACCACGTTTGTTCAGGTTACAGAGAATTGCTCGGATAAAGTGAATGTGATTGTGCTTAGTTATGCTAACACCTGGCGAAACATTGGCGTAAGTGGTAACAACAGTCATTAAATGAAAATTGACTATGTACACTGCTCTATTGCAGGAATACACGGATCTACATCAGGCCATAAACTCAATGGTTCCTTATGCCACAGAAGTTAGGAACAAGGATTCCATTCTTCTGCATAATGTAACGCGAATGCTAAAAGAGCTCAGACTTTTAAGCTATTCGTAAAATGTCTCTATATATTTTGTACATCTATACTGGTTAGTCTTATATATAATAAAACAGTATGCAACAAATTCTTTTAAATATAACTTAACTTATGGTCACCCAGTTAAAAAAATTGTATAATCATGATCTTATATTCATCGCAGGGTGAAAATGAATGTCTCATCAGTAGTTTAAGGAATCAAATTTTCTTTGCCTACACAATCCATGTCTTAACATTCATACGTACACAGATTCTCAGCCACCAAACAACAAAAATATATATAAAAAAAAAACAAAAACAAAACCAAACAAAACAAAAAAAAATCTTTAGGAGGATAATAACACTTTGGTTTCGACAAAATGGTTAAGATGGTTAGAGTAAGTGTTACACCTCCAAGCCACGGCCTCATAAGCGAATACGAAATGATGGAAAGGCAAAAGAAGTACACCATACGGTTGCAAGATATTGCTGCTGCCTGTTCCATCTTCAGAAGTAATGTTAAGTGGTCTAATTAATGATGGTTAAACCCTAATCGATGGACTTTATTTAGAGTCACTTGATCTGTTTAGAGACCAGGAGGAAGAACGAACAAAACAAGACCGATGGGAGCAGTTTATGCGATGTGATGGCCTGCCCAAGGCCAGATCACCAACCGAGATCCGAACTTTCCTGGCCAAGCTCCGTCACTTCGAAGATATCGAATTTAAAAAATCCATCGATTGGACTCTGCAAGTTGACGAACGTAGTATTCTCACCCAAAATATTTATCACAAGGACCAAACGCGCTCGACTCTGGAAAAACAGCTTGCCGATAATCCTGGCTCCTATTTCGAGAAAAATTTTAAGAACTGTCTGGACCTCTTGGCGCAGATTGATGCTCTGATGGATAACGAGGTGGAAATGGACCGCATAAATACAAACGTACAAATTGATATTATGGAGGTGAGTGTATTTACTCACAAGAGTAAATAATTTTTGGCACAAATTGCAGGTTTATACAGAGATTCAACGGGAGATCGAAAACCTTTTCGATCGTCTTACTTATCGGATTTTGGGCATGCAAAAGGTCTATATGAAGTAAGTTAATTTATTTCAATATGACTTATATTAAGTATATATTTCTTATTAAAGATCCACAAATGGGATTGTGGCTACGTGGAGCTACTCAAGTGATCCATGGTGCATGGATATCTGGGGTCTCTTAAACGTTCCCATTATCTTTAAACAAATGGAGTAAGTTTTATCCACGAATGAATGCGGGCTTTCTTTTTTTATTCATCTTATAATTAGAGTCCCAGTTATGATGGCCGAATTTGAGGCCACGGGTGTCCAGGTTCAAATGCCGCTGAGTGTCCTGTGCGATTGTCTCACAGTTCGCTGTGTGCACACCACGTTTGACCACCATTCAGAGGACGCCAAGAGCTTCGAGCCGCCAGTGGTTGATGCCACCCTATTTCCCAATGCTGGAATTACAGATATGACAGAGTCGGTGGTTGGTGAGTGGCTGATGCAGCAGGACATACAGGTGGAAACCTTGGATGCCATGAACCGCAAACGTGAGGAGTACGAGGAACTAATGCAGCTCATTGCCGACCGGACCGAACAGGCTGCCAAGGAGGCAAAGTCCGGTAAGACCGCCGATGGTGGTAAGCGCTTGAAGATAGTCATTCCCAAAACCCCAAAGGCGGTGCCCCTAGTGCCGCAAGGAATGTATCCCGAGGTATACGAAGAGTTTCTCATTCGTGAGGAGGCTCAGTTCAAAAATTTTGTGGACAATTTCTATCATCCGAACCATCTAAACATGAGAGCCGGGGAGGTGAGTAGAACATCTCTAACCGCTCATAAGATATAATACTTTGTACTTTAAGTTCCAATTGAAACGCTTGAATTATATTGCATCCTTAAAGACAATCCAAACTCTTCTAGGTAAATCTTCGGGAGTGTATTATTATTGGTGGAGTCTATAACGTTACATTTTTGCGGCGACCTGACCAACAGCAATTCGAGAAGTTTAACATTATTTTGCATGAGGATGGACGCGTTTTAAAGGTCATACCCGATGTGGTGGCAAAACCTGAAAACGATTTTCGCAGCTCAGGTGTCACCGAGTTCACTAGAATGACTTTGAGTAGCACCCCCATGAAGCTGCAGGAAAATGAGCTGCCATTCTTCATCGTCACCGTGAAACTGCCGAAAGATCTGTGCAGGTGGGGCAAACCTGAGGTGTGTCATTACCTAAGGGAGATGGAGACACCGCCCAAGCCTTTGGAAAGGCGTTCCATCGCATCGCCCAATTTGATCGATCCCCAACGAATATCATCTGAATTAGCCCAGAGAGAAGACAGTTTTGGCATTCGATCAACAGTGGGCAATATGTTCAATTCAACTCTCAAATTAATCCTAAGGCATAGTATCGCCTATGAAACCAATCCAAAGAGAGGGTTTCCCATGAATAATTTTCAGCTGGATAAACCTTTGAATGCAATAGAAACAATGAACCTGAAACATGTTTGTTTGCCGCGCATAATTTCGTCATTTAAGTTTCCAAGCGAATTTTCAGCAGAACAACTAATGTCTGAGGCTCAAAAGACTAAGTCAAACCGCTTGATAAAAAGGGTTGAACCTGAAATAGTTGCGGAAGTTGAACGGCCGACGCAAACCTTTGATTACACTTTGCAGGAATGCTCCGAAAGGATGTTTCCCGTTTTTGAAATAGTAGCTCCTGTGGATTTCACACCTGCTAATTTTACGACTACCCTCGATTCTCCCGACACATCAACAGCGTTTGGGCTAGTGTCCACATTGGATACGATTAAACAAAAATATTTGGAGAAGCCGCTGCATTTGATCAATCAAATCCAAGTTACGCATAAGAAGTTCGAGAAAAAGTGGGAAAAAGTACTAGAGGTCAGAGAAAGTACCTTTAGTGTTAAGAGTAGAATGTCTTCCCAAGAGCTAAGGGACAGAAAAAGTCAAGCTGACAGAAAGAGTTTTGGAGATGTAAACACGAAAAAGATTGTTTCAGATTTAATGTTTCAAAAGAGTGGCTCAGTTACCATGGCCGTTGGCGGTGCTCAGGATCATAAGATAACCAGCAGGAGTGGATCTCTGGCTAAGCGAAGATCGACGCGAAAGAGTGGAAAACTGGAAGAAAACGCTGTGGAAACGCATGTACAGGAAGCGCCAATATTATTAAACCACTGGACGAAACGGTACATATTCGAATCTTCAATGGATCCCACGACCAACACACTCACCTTCAGAACTGACCGTCTGGGCATTTTTGGATTGGCCTTCAAGAGGTATGAGCACTTTCCATTCAGTGATTGGAGTCTGCAGCCTAATGAGGAAAAGTATGTATTCTAACTTTCAAATAGATCCTGTAAATAACTATTTCCCACATACACATACAGTCCAGATGAAATTATTTTCAACCTGGATACATTTCATGTTCGAATGATCTTCTACATCACATCCAAGGGAGTGCGGGGCTATGTGACCGATCTGAACAAGGGTTACACGGCCAAGCCAGTTAAGTACCTTGAGATTGCGGAGCCCATCTCCGATTTTCGGGAATTACGAAAGGTACGGATGTACGGATTTTAATACGCATTTTAATGCCAAATCTTACGCAGTTACTCGTGGAAAGGAATCTAAACATTTTCGCGGAGAACGATGCTAATTATTATATAACAAATGGTTATTTTTCCATCAAACACATGGCCACTGAGCTGCACATCTACAATACCATGGCCATGCAATGTAAGCAAATGAAATTCTACCGATCTAGTTGGAATCAACTGGCCCAACGACGTGACATTATCATGAACATGAAGATTGCAAAGGACAACTCGGACTATTCGGAAGTCACAATGCGTATCACACCCGAAAAGACAACGTTTGTAAAGATCTTCGAGATGTGTTCGGATGACATAAATGTCATCAAGCTGCGTTACGAAGAAACTTGGCGGAACGTGAACGTGAGTAGACATTTTCTAGACCAAAAGTAATTTCTTACACTTCCTTGTGGATTGCAGCACTATAATGACTTCAGTCAGGCCATCTATTCGATGAACCCTCATTCCCTGGAGGGCTGTAATAAAGAAGCAATGCTTTTTGTCTACATTAAGAGGCTTTTAAACGAGATTCGTCCATTAAGTTTCTCCTAGGTCGTCAGTACTTGTGTATAAAAATTTTACATTTATTCATATTCTAGCACTGAAAGTATTTTTAAACAATGTCATTATTGTCGATTCCATTTACAAGTTGACACAATTACACACACAAAAAAACAACACAAAAAAACTACACAAAAAAACAACAAAAAAATGGTAAAAAGAAAAAGCAAGGCCCTGGAATCAAGCAGATCCACCGTGGAACTCCTTTCCGAGGACGAGTGGATGGCCCGCAGAAATACATACATGCAGCGTTTGGCGGACCTTCGGATAAGCATAGGTTTTATTGAGGGTACAGGATAGAATGTATGTAGATCATGGCGGGATGTAGGATTATAACCACGACTTAACCCTTAGATGCTATCGATGAGTACAAGGAGCGGAAGAAAAAACAGTTGCAGGACGAGAAATGGAAAAATTACTTGGCCTGCGACGGTCAGCCAAATCCTAGTCGTCCAGCTGAAATCCGGCAATTTGTCTACCAACTGAACTTCCTGGAGCACGAGTCCTACAAAAATGACATCAATTGGGTTCTACCGGTCGATGAACGCAGTATACTCTCGCATGCTCCTGACCGCAAGGATATGACTCGGAGGAACTTGGAAAAAGAACGACCAAACATCGGTCAGCTGTACGATGATACTGTGCAGCGTATTTTGGAAACCATTACACGTGTGGATAGAGTGCTCAGAAGCGATGACGAACTCCTTAGCATGCCGCCCTTTCAAGTTCTTGAACTAGCTAAAGTAGTTATCCTATAAATAGGGAAAATTGTTTTTAGAAATGTAGTATTTTTCCAGATGCCCTCAGAACTCAACGGTGATATCGAGCATTTATTTGACAAGCTCACTTATCGCGTAATCTGTGCACCCGAAGCCTATATGACGTAAGGCTACTTGGCAGACCCACCTTATTTAACTTTCATGTCTTTCTCGCAGAACTAAAGGCAGTATCTTGTCAAACTACTGCTACAACAGCAGCAAATTTAACTTCCAGATTTGGGGGTTGCAGGATGTTCCCATTCGATTCAACTATATGAAGTAAGTGGCTTTCGTTAATGGGTTTTAATTTTTTATGGATTGTTTCAACTTGATTTAAGGCTACCGATAATGTTCTCCGACCTGAACTGCGTTGGCGTGACCCTTCAACTGCCCCTCAGCGTGCTCTGCGATAAATTGACCCTGCGGTGTGTGCACACCTTCTTTGACCCGCTCTCCCAACTGTCCAAAAGCTACGAGCTGGACATGGATGGCTCTATTATTAGCCCCAATTGTGGTCTAGTGGACATCGCGGATAGTGTTATGACTGAATGGATGATCCAGATGGATATACAGGAGGAAATCATAATGAAAATAAACACGCAGATGGAGATCTACAACGAGGCCATGGCGTAAGTATAGTTATACCCCTTACTTCTACAGTAAAAGGTATATTGTATTCGCTGAAATGTATGTAAGAGGTAGAAGGTAGCGTTTCCGACCCTAGTAGGTATGTTTATTCTTGATTAAGATTAATAGCCCAGTCGATCTAGCCATGTCTGTCTGTTTATCCGTCTGTTCGCCTCTCTGTCCGTTTGTCTGTCAATTTGTCTGTCTGTTTGTCTATCCATTTCTCTATCCATTTGTCTGTCCGTTTATCTGTCCGTTTTTCTGTCCGTCTCGGAAACCTTAGAATCAAGAGATTTGGGATTTGACATGCAAATTCTACTTATGCCCACGCAGCATATAAAATATTTTAATATTTTAATCTAAGTAATGGGAATCTAATAATCGGATCACTTGACTTTAACATTTCTTCTTGTTTTGGTTGGATCTAGCAGTAAAATTTTAATCCTTTTTAAAAGCGTATTTGAGAAAGCAGTAGCACAAAGGAAAAAGGACCAGGAAACGAAAGCCGCAGGAAAGAAACCCATTCCAAAGCCCCCACAAAAGCCGCAGGAACTACAAGCCGGCATGTTTCCCGATCCTTATAAGTTATTCCTCGAACAAGATAAGCAAGATTGCTTGAACTTTTTTAATGAAAACTTCCATCCAGACCACTTAAACTTATCGCCGTTTGAGGTAATGTTTAAATTATGTTACAAAAATAATCAAATTCAACTTCGTTTCTCATTTTACTCCGTACTAATAATTTATACTTATAGGTAAACCTGCGTCGCTTTATAATCATGGGTGGTGTTATATCACTGGTCTTTGTGCGAGTAGCCAAGCACATTGCATTCGACAAGTTTAATATAACGCTGCACGAAGACGGTCGCGTTTTACGCAAGAAATTAGATGTTTTGGATGAACCGACGGAATCAACAAGAAGTTCAACTAATTTTAACACCTTGCAACGACCAAATCGTACGGATATGAAAAGTGATCTCGATATGGAGGACGCTCCAGAGTTTCAGCTGCATTTGGAACCGGATGAGCTGCCGTTTTACTTCATCACCTTTCAAGTGCCAAACCATTTGTGCCTGTGGGGTGAGCCCATTGTCTGTCAATTTGTTGAGGATGAGATCCAAGAACTGGAGATGGAAGATGAACTAGTGATGGAGAAGCTGGATAAAAAACAAAGCAAGATGCGCAAAACTTCCCAAAAGAAAATCGATTCGTTGCATAAAAAAACATCTAGCGGAAAGAATATAATTTTGTTAGAAGAAATCCCCGGGAAAAACACCAAGCCGAAATACCATCATTCGGCAATAGAAAATTCAGTCAACATTTATCGACCGTCAGCGTTGGCAATTGTGCGCCAAAGTATTGAAGAACAGGAGCTAGTTCATTACGATGTGGTGGAAAACTTTGAGCTGCAGTCGGAACCGCTGTCCAGGAGAAGACTTCACCTTCTTCAGCAGCAGTGCTTACCCCGCATAATATCCTCGTTCAAATTCCCGCGCGATTTCAAAGATGACGAGATCGATGAACAGGCCACCAAAAAGGAACCGACCACGCAGCTTATTAGAAGACGACCAAACGAACCTGTTCTTTCCAAAGTGACTGGGGACTTCAGCTTTAACTACGAGGATCAGACTTATCCCGAACGAGTATTCCCAAAATTTCCCCCAATAAACTCCCTAAAACTGGAGAAGAAAGAAATCACAGTAGAGGATACTTCGATGTACGGTTTTATACAGAAATTGGACAACATTAAGGATAAATACTTGGAGGCTTCAAAGAAGATAGCAGAACAAGCCGAACCCACCGTCAGGATGAGCAAACGCATCTATCACGAGTTGACTACTTCCAGTCGTTCGGGTCGACAAAGTTACATCAGAAGGTCTATCAAACAGTTAGATTTGGATGAAAGCACCCCGGAAAAGGATCTCGAAGTGTCGGAACCCATCGAAGTTTTGCGAAAAGTCAATAAAGACCGCCCTGTTCGGAGCTCTGAACCTATAAAGCTCTTGCATTGGAGCACCAAGTTCATTCTGGAGTCGCAGTTCGACAGGGAGAGCAAAGTCCTCACGGTCAAAACAGATCGCTTGGGAAGCTTTGGATTCGCCTACCCCCGCTACACCCATTTCCCCTTTCGCCACTGGGAATTGGATAGAAATGAGGAGAAGTAAGAGATCATGATTTTGTTGTTTCGTAATTTAGAAATAATGTATATTTTTGCCTTCACTTTGCAGCCAGGACGAAGTCATCTTCACCCTGGACACATACCACGTGCGGGTGGTCTTCTTCATCAGCAAAGACGGTATACGTTGCCATGCAATCGATCTACCCAAGGAGTATATCGCCCGGCCCTACAAGTATATAGATATTGAGGAACCCGTCTCAGACTTCGTCGAGTTGCGCAAAGTTTGTTTATGATTTGATTTGATTTTCGATTTGTAATTTATAATATGCCATTACAGCGCCTCCAGGACATGAACCTGAATGTGTTTGCGGAGCTAGACGCTGCTTTCTATATAGATCAGGGCGACTTTTCGCAAAAGCACTTGGCGGCTGAGTTGCATATCTACGATGCCATCGCCGTGCACATCAAGCTGTTGAAGTTCAGCCGCAGTCAGTGGAATCGCCTGGCCACGAATCGGGATCTGGTGTTGTGTCTACGGAACACTAAGGATGTGCACGATGTGGCAGAGGTCACGGTGCGCATAACGCCCGAAACTTCGACCTTCGTGGAGGTCTCTGAACCCTGCACAGAGGATCTCAATGCGGTTAGGCTGAACTATACAAACACCTGGCGTAACATTGGGGTAAGGTCTATTTCTTATTGGGGAAGCAATGTGTTTAAATTCGTTACTTTAACATATAGACCTATTCGGATCTGCATCAGCTGATCAACTCCATGTATCCGCATGCCACAGATGTGCGTAACCGCGACTCCAACCAGATGTACTATCTGCGCCAGCTCCTGCAGGAGATTCGACCTCTGAGCTTCTCGTAGTACCGCCGACGCTGCTCAATTAACAACTGCCAAACAAACACAGACCACAGCGTACACTTTCAAATTAACAGCAATTAAACTCAATTGCCATTTAACAAAGTCATCAAGAACTTTCATTAGCCCTGCTTAAGTTGGTTCTCCACGCTAAAACGGTGGGTATGTGGGGAGTGGTTAAAAAATTCTGCTTAGTTTGAAATAGTGATTTCCATTCATTGTTTCCAATGCAACGCATGCTGGCATGTTGCTTAATGGCCGTCGCTCTGTCAAAGATTGATGTCTTTGCCCAGGACATCAGCCCAACCATCGATGTGGAGAAGCTGGCCAAAATAGTACTGCCCTCCGGCTTGCAGACTCGAGTAGTTGGTGGTCATGTCACGACGAATGCCAAACTGGGTGGCTATCTTATAGCGCTGTACTATCAGAAAGACTTTATTTGCGGCGGCACACTTCTCAATGAACTGATCGTCCTGACAGCGGCCCACTGCTTCCTGGGCAGGCCGAAGACGGGCGGTTGGTTGGCGTCCGGCGGCATATCGAGGCTCGGTGAGAAGGGCATCGAACGTCAGGTCAAATCATTCATCATGTCCGCCCAGTTTCGGGAAAGTGACATGAACATGGATGTGGCCATAGTTCGGCTGAAAAGCCCCATGAAGGGTAAAAATATCGGAAAATTGTCGCTCTGCACCACGAACCTCAAGTCGGGCCTTGAACTTGTCGTTTCCGGCTGGGGGATGACCGATTCCAGAGGCAATGGTCCGGAACAGTTACTGCGAACGATTACAGTGCCCATCATTGAAAAGAAAAAATGTCGTGCCGCCTATCGGCCAGGTGGTAAGTGTTATGTCCTAAAAGAATAGGGCCATGAAGAGTGTTCGAAGCAAATGAGAGCTTAAAAGTCGTTTTGAAATATTTCAAGTGAAATATAAATCATAGATCTTTAAAAACTTCAAAAGGTTTAGTTACACCCGTTAATCTTAGAGTAAAAGGTTTTATAGTTTTCGTTGATTTTGATGGTAGAGTATTATATTTTTGGTCCCAAAGAATTCGAAATTTGTTTTAAATATATGTATTGGCATAATTAAAAGATCAGAACAATTTATTGAGAGTGTATTCGGGTAAATAACAATTGATAAAGTTCTTGTGGTCGAGTTTCCTTTCTTGTTTCTTTATCACTTTAAAATATTGTTGAAATTTAGCTTTTAAATTGTTTATACTTAGGTCCGCATTTTCATACTACTTTTTACTCAAATGCTCATTATAACTTTTAACAAATACTTTTCTTTTACGCAGTCAATTTGACAGACAGCATGTTCTGCGCATCGGTTTTGGGTAGGAAAGATGCCTGCACTTACGACTCTGGAGGTCCTTTAGTCTACAAAAATCAGGTCTGCGGCATCGTGTCCTATGGAATCGGGTGTGCAAGCAGGCGTTATCCCGGCGTCTACACCGATGTTAATTACGTAAAGCCCTTTATTGAAAAAAGCATGAACGTATTGCTCTCGCGTCGATCCCGTTATTAAAATCCATGCACTAATAAATTTAAAAAATTTAAAATATTTTTAACGTTTTGTAAGCAACCAACCACTTGATTTTCTCTGTAGTCACTTCTAAAGTGGTCATCACTAATATATTGTATGTATCAAAATATTTGTATTTATTTAATTCAAATCTGCTAAAATGTTTGGAAACTGGTGTGAAACGTATGAGGGCAGTAAAATGCAATAAAATTTTGAGTCATACCCTTGCAACGCAGTAAAGAAGATAATTTATTTATTTTCTTCACTAGGAGAGTCGATCGAAATATTAAAACAAAAATGAAAAAAAAATATTTTAATTTCTCTAATTTTTCTTTTTTCTTTTTAAATTTTTTGTCATTAACCCATTATAATAAAAGCATTACGCTTTTAATTTTATTAAAATCGGAGAAACGAATAAATTTGAATGTTTTAATTTTTTTCATCACAGCTTCAATGTTTTTTAACATATACGCATATAAATCGAAATTTAGATGTTTTGAAAAACCAATTTATTTTTGCAATAGCTGCAAGGGTATATATACCTTTCTTTTTTAAGTATAATTTTATTTCTAAGGTTCTATCGGGTGTAGAGCTAAAGGTAGTGAAACTATTTACGATTTTCTAGTCTTAATCAAAAATAAAATAATTTGTGTTTACAAGCCCTCAAATATGGGTTGCCACCAAAATAAAAACTTTTGACAGAGTATACTTTTATTTATGCTTATGTGAGACCTTAAAAAATCTAATGGCGTTGAAATAAATTTTAGAAATTATATAGAGAGAATATATTATAATAGAAATACCAATTTGATTATGCATTTAGTTTCGGATTAGAGACTTTCTCTACGCTTATATATTGTATTAAGTTTGCGATCCATTCTTCTCCCTGTATCCAATGAATAGCCTTCTAGTTTATTGCATTCTCTCTACCGCTCTATATTCAGTCCATGTACTTGGCCTGGACATAAACGAAATCATTGATGTGGAAAAGTTGGCCAAAATAGTGCTGCCCTCGGCTCAAGAGGCTCGAGTCATTGGCGGCCAAGTGACCACAAACTCCAAGTTGGGTGGCTATCTGGTGGCATTGCTATACGAGCGAGATTTTGTCTGTGGCGGAACTCTGCTCCACGAGCTCATAGTACTCACGGCAGCCCATTGTTTTCTGGACAGAATGAGGACTAGCGATTGGATTGTCGTGGGCGGCATTTCGAGACTTGACCAAAGAGGTATACGCCGCCAAGTGAAGAATTTTATTATCTCCGATAAGTTTGAAGAGGATAACATGGATATGGATGTGGCCGTGATGCTGCTGAAAAGACCTATGAAGGGCAGAGGTATCGGTAAACTAGAGTTATGTTCTACGATCCTGAAACCTGGCAATGATCTGATAGTTTCCGGTTGGGGATTGACTGTTGCCACAGGCTCAGGACCCCAGAAATTGCTCCGCACTGTAACGGTGCCAGTTATTAACAAGAAGAACTGTCGTTCTGCCTATCAGCCATTGGGTAAGTTAATATGTTAATTATAAAATTTATTTATATTTAATATTTATAATTATCAAGCTGCCGTTTGTAAATATAAACCTGATCTTTTTAAAGATATACACCATTATTTTATCATTATTTATTTTGCAGCCAAAATAACAGACAATATGATATGCGCTGCTGTCCTGGGAAAAAAAGACGCATGCACCTTCGACTCTGGTGGTCCTTTGGTATATAAAAAACAGGTTTGCGGCATTGTGTCCTTCGGCATTGGTTGTGCTAGCAAACGTTATCCTGGCGTCTACACCGATGTCTTTAACGTGAAAGAATTTATCGAGAACAGCACCAAGGTTTTGCTCTCAAAGTGTTGAATAACAAATTAATTAATAAATCGAAGTAATCATAAAATCGCTAACCATTTTTGGTAAGGTCTAGTTTGGATTTACTTAATAGCACACCTTGGTAAGCCAGGAAATGGTTTAGGCTTTCGAAAGACAATTATGTCTAATGCAAGGATTTCTGTCGAAATAAGTCAATCATTTTACATAAATAGCAGTTTACCTATGCTTAGTATCTTTATTTATACGAAATAATAAAAATTATAGTTGATCTAGTCTTATTCTAATTATACACATTAGGATCATGTTATATCTTATTGCTATTAAACACTCAAAAGACAAAACATAAAGCTAAATATTTTGAGCAAATCGTTAAAGCCTTTTAAAAAATGTTAATGAAAGCAATTAAGTTTATTGCTTATGAATTTTAAAACTCTTAGGATTTGTTTGCAAGGTTTGGATTTGTGTTGAACAACGGATAGACATAGAGAGATTTTTTAAAGGCAGTAATGTCCTTAATGTTTGAAGGATCATTGCTCTCTCCCAAAAACTCAATCTTGATCTTATCGCCCATTGGCCTATATATAATTTCATGACTCGAGATATCGATATCATCCAATAAGTGTGCCACAGATCCGGAACGAGTGGCAGCTTGAGAAGTATCTTGGGTTGTTGAATCTGGTAATAAATTATCGTTTCCCACAACTTGGACAGAAAGTTTTCTTAAATTGCTTTTATCATAGTCATTCAGGAAACTCAAAACATCCTCCTTCGTTAAATTGTTCAGCGTTTGAATTTCCATTTCCATGCGATTGAAGAAGTATTCCTTGGTAACGATTTCACTCCAATTTCGCATAACTTCCTCATCTAAGCTATTGTCACCCAGCCTTTTCCCACTGATAAGAGTTTCTCGAAAAGTCTGAAACTCTGCATCACTCATCTGTGAGACAAGTTCAGACATTCGAGACCTAAAAGCCTCAATACGTTGCTCTACATAATCAGCCTTATGTTTTGTCTCCTGAGTGTTTATGGTGATTAGAAAAGCCAACACACCATAGCCAACTCGCTGATGTATTCCCAGACTGTAGCCCAATTGCTCTTGAGTCCGTAATTGATTGAAAAATGGTTCCTCTACAATCAACTCTATGAGGTCCATCGTACACTCCAGTTTCAGATCACTTGGTCCTATTTGATAGTAGTTTGTTATAATTGTATTTGAGTCGTCCTCGTTAAGAGTTTTGGCCCTTAAATAATAAGAGCCTAGAGGCAACTGAAGTAAGTTATTATCCAATGCCGATAAATTATCTACTTTTTCGCTGTTATATGTTAGAAGAACTTTTTGCATTAAATCTTTAGCTTGTTCTTCAGTGAAATTCCCTTGTATTAACGCTTTTACGTACATTTTCTTATGAAAATTATCTTTAAAATCCTTAACATCATCTAGTGTTATAGTGTCAACGACCTCGTACTTGGAAAGCATGGTAAACCGTTGGTTTTCCAATACGCTGAGGCGCAAATCAAGGTTTAGAGTTTTCCCGTGAATTAGACCGTTATATATTTGCCTCTTTTTAAGATCCTTAAATGCTCTTAAATGATCCTGAGCCACATCCAGTTCAATAGTTTGCATTACGTTTAGTATTATTTCCACCAAAAGGGGAAGCTTTTCATTATAGCCACTGATCCGCATAACCAAACCTTTGTCACCAATATACAGGCCATATGTCAGTCCTGCTTCTAAGGCTGGGTATAATTGCTCGGCCATTGTGAACTCAACTAAGTAGGTGTATAGAACACCAGTCATGTAATTTTTAACACTTTCCCGGACAAGAGGTGTAATGAAGTACAGGTTTATGTATCCGTCGGGAAGATGAAAAATGTTATCCTGCCGAAACCATAGTTCGCATAAATCATTTTTAATTAAAGACTTTGGACTCCTTGATATATGTGGCCTTCCTGCTTCTTCCCAATAAAGTCTAAAATCAGTGGTAACAAATGGATTAGGTTCCGGAAAATGCAATTCATTCAATATTGGTGGATTTTCCCACATGCTTTGCCATTTCGGAGGCATTGAAATAATTTTATACTGAGTACCAAACCAAGGTTCTTTTTGATCGTATTCATTACTTTCATATGGTATATAGGATGAAATCATTATATTAAAGTTAAATGCACTTATGTGCTCTCTTAAATGCTGAAAATCTGATTCATTATATTCAAAATATAGTTCTGGTCCCGAAAGGACATCTTTAAACGGCAGGTAATTTAAGTTTTCCACAATGCCCTGAACATTATCAATAGAAGGTTGTTCAATTTGAAATCGGAAATTGTTGTTGGCAATTTGTTGAAATTCTTTATAAGAAGACTCAATCTCTTCACTGTTGATGAGAAGCTTAATCCATGAAAATGTGGCATTCAATACATCGTCTAGGTGATTAAAACCATCGTCTGTGAGGTATATGCTTATGTTAAATAATGAGTATATAGAGTTTGAGTCAAAGCTACTTCCGCTAACTCCTGAACTTAGGCTAATGCACCAGAGGCGCCTACGTAAGTACGAACATAAGCTGCCTACTCCCTCATACCCAATAAGTTGGGAAATAAAGGAGTCTGGCTTACTGCGATAAAAATTCTTCATTGGTGGCAAAACCCAAGTTAACTCAACTTTGCACACATCTTCCACTGGCTGTACTAGAAATACTTGCTTAAAAAACTCTTCTCGGAATGCAGTTTGGTAATTAAATTGCGATAGGTCTTCTGCATTCACCTGACTTTTAGGTATATCAGAACAATGGCGTATTAGCATGTCCTCTAGTTCATCTAATGAAAGTTGCGCTTGAATAGCTACTATCATTCGATTCGATCCGTAATGATTTTGACAAAACCTGTGGAGTTCCTTGTGCAGATGGTTGTCATCAACGCCCTCCTGGAGGGTTTTGAAATTACCCCAGCTAAAAGTGCCATGTGGATATCCATCACTTGCAAAACTTGCCAAAATCTGATCCCTACGGACCTCGTCTCTCATAAAAGACTGTTCAAATTCAGACTGGACGGCAGAACGCTCTCGATTCATGGCATCGGGAAGCATTAGCGGAGCCTTTATCAAGTTCATAAAAAGATCCATACCCTTGTCAAGGTGGGATTCATCCACCTCGAAGTAGAAACATGTCTCCTCGTTCTCAGTATGCGCATTGCTGAAACCCCCGCTTTTCGTCACAAACGCGTCAAATTCATTCTCTACAGGAAATTTTTTTGATCCCATAAATATCATATGTTCCACAAAATGTGCTAATCCCTGATATTGTCGCGGCTCACTAAATGATCCAACGCCAACGAGGACTGCACATGCCGCTAATTTACCATTAAAATGTTCGCTAGAAGAATTTACACTTTCGCTGGACGCTCGATGGACCGGAGGATCATCTATAAAAGGATCTGATATAAGCATGGCACGCAATCCATTTGACAGTCTTAAGGAACGGTAAAGTTTTCTGTCCCCATCTGATTTATCGGGCTGATCATGATATTGGACCACAGCTGAGGCCGTATTTAAATCAGCAAATTGTTGTCGATTTAGCCATTTGTGTACTTGCTTGCTAATTCTTCTTAGGCCGAGACGCAGCTTGAAACACATATTTATGGGAATGTTTACGAAAAATTTGAAAAATATGTATTTTACATATTGGACCCTATTATTTTTGACAACTGAATGCAAGCAAATGATTTTGCACAGAAATTTTTGAGCTCTACACTTTAATAATAAATTATCCAACTAAAAATACCGATCATACAAATGTCTTTAAATTACAATATTGCAAGTACAACAGTTTTAATATAACCTAACCAAAACGTAACTTTTAAAAGCAAATAATATTACATTGGCATTGTTTACTAAAGAACAACCTTATTTAAAAAAAAAAAAAATCATTTTGTAATATAATTGAGAACATTTAGTTCACTTCGATAGTATGTTTTAAGATTAGACGGGCATTACGCCATATAGAATATTTAAATGGATCCCAATTATAACACATTGCCACAGCCATTGGATTCGCTTAAGCGTCTTTTTTACGGTAAGTTGTGGATCGTTTAAGTGATTATTTGGAAATAGTTCTGTGAACCCTATGGATCGTCTCCTTGTTTGCTGTTTGGTATTTGGAATTTTGCTTATAGAGGATTTGCATGCTCTGAACATCAATGAGACCATCGATGTGGAAAAGTTGGCCCAGAGAGTGATGGCTCCTGCGCAGCAGACACGTGTTATTGGCGGCCATTTGACTACCAATGAGAAGTTGGGTGGATATTTAGTGGCACTGAAATACCACGGCAGTTTTATCTGCGGTGGCACATTGATTCGGGATATTTTTGTACTGACGGCGGCCCACTGTTTTGAGAACCGGGGAATGAAGGAGGGTTGGACTGTGATCGGTGGCATCTCGAAACTCAGCGAAACTGGTGTTCGCCGCTGGGTGAAGACTATAATCAAGTCCGCCGAGTTCAGGATGGATTCCATGCACATGGACGTGGCTGTGATGCTGCTGAATAGGCCCATGGTGGGAAAGGGCATCGGTAAACTATCATTGTGCTCCACGCCATTGAGTCCGGGCAAGTTACTGGTAGTTTCCGGTTGGGGGATGGTTAGCCCGGATGCAAGTGGTCCGGATCAGTTGCTGCGAACCGTCACAGTACCTGTAGTTGAGAAGAGTTATTGCCGCAAGGTCTATCAGACGGCAGGTGAGTGACCTTTCAACATTCCAACCTCTCTTAATATAAATGCACCAGATCAAAAATGCAGTTTTCAAAAATGTGCTTTGTACTGATTTAAAAGGTAATAATCTACCTTCTTTTATTTATTTTGTTTTATTTATTTGTTTTAAAATTAATTCTTCTTGTGTTTTGAGAAACTATAATAATTGTCTATTTCTGTAAACATTAAGATAATTTAAACAAAAATAAATGCACCTAAAGCTATCGCTCTTATTATACTCTTATACTTGTAAAGGGTATTATAATTTCAGTCAGAAGTTTGCAAGAGACTAACTAGTCTCTCAGTTTTAAAGCTTACTGCATCAAACTTTTCCAAAAGTTGTCTTCCTGTTGAAGGAGCTTCTCTATATTATAACTTTTTTTCTTTGATAGTTTAGAATTAAGCTTTAAATTTTATTCAAATCGAAAAACAATATCATATATAATATATTTAATTATTGCAAAGCTGCAAGGGTTTATGAACTTTGGCTTGCGAAAGTTTGCTTCCTGTCTTTTTTTTTTATATTTTGTTGTTCATTTGTCATTTTTTTAAATATTTTACGAATTTGTTTTGAGTAACTTAGAATTGTATACTTAATTACAGTTATTACAAACGTTAAATATTGGAAAAAAGCCATTCTAATTTAAAAAACATTAAAAGCCGTATATATTTTTATAATAAGAACATATTGAATTTATAATACTTTTTTTTTGTGCAGCCACAATATCAGACAGCATGTTCTGCGCCTCAGTTTTGGGAAAGAAAGATGCCTGCACCTACGACTCTGGAGGTCCACTGGTTTTCAACAAGGAGGTCTGCGGAATCGTGTCTTTTGGGATCGGATGTGCCAGCCCTTTATATCCCGGCGTCTATACAGATGTCCATTACGTTAAGCCCTTCATTGAAAAATGTATGAAAGTGATGCTCTCCCGTCGACCCCGTTATTAAAATCCATGCGTTTTCTAAAATACACTTATTTAAGTATGATTTCGTTTCCAAGATTCTTTCGGGTGTAGAACTAATAGTAGTGAAACTACGATTTTCACTAGTTTAAATTTAAAAAAAATTATTCATTGCCTACAAGTCTCCAAATATGGGTTTGCCCATGTGCGTTTAAAATAAAAACTTTTAACAGACATATACTTTTATTTATGCTTATGTGGGGCTTTAAAGAATATAAGTTGGAACTTCCTGCCTTGAGGACCGCTTTATCCCGGGGGTTCTTCAACTTCTTTGATTCAAGCAGTGCTGTCTGTTCTGTCTGGATCTAAATATGGCCTAAAGGTTTGCGGCAAAAGGACTTGCGCTTCTCTACGGTTACTTGGAACACCTTGGTTTGGGGCACGCGGGCTTAGCCTTGGGGCACCTGGCCATCTTCTTCCTCGGCCTGGGGCATTTTGGCTTGGCTCTGGCGCACTTGGGCTTGGGCTTGGCGCACCTTTTCTTAACCTTTGACATCGCCCTCGGCTTGGCGCATCGCTTCCTGGGCTTAACGCACTTGGGCTCCCTCCTTCGACATTCGTCCTCCATGTTGCCAAAGAAAGCGTCTGTGGCCTTTGAGGTATCTGGCTTAGATTCTATTTGGTCATCGCTGTTCGCAGAGCTGGGCAGCTTGATAGTGCTAGTGCTAGAGCAATCGGTATCAATCGGTATAGCTATGGGTGGGCTCTGCTAAATGGCGGGATGTTTAATTATTGATATTGAATAAATATCGTTTGAATACCGAGATTACAACTTACCCCAGCGTATTGGCATCGATCGCCGATCGACATATCGTTCCATTTCTTCACAGCCGCTACCGCAATTTGCGAATCCGTGTAAGAATCTTTGTTGCTATACCAAAACTCCTTCAGGAAGTTAATGATGGGCGCATTATCAAAGTCAAACGTGAGTCCATCTGCGTCCATGAGATGTTCATCTAAAGTTTTCTTGGTGTTTTGATTTTTGACCGCCGTCTTACTACCTTTGAGCTGCAGTGAACTCATGACGTACCTCTATTTACGTTAAACTTATTTAGTGAAAAAAAAAAATATTGTATCGAAACAAACTTGAAATTTTGTGATTTGTTTCAAGTAAAAATTGATGTGTTTTGTACAAGAGTATAAAACAAACTGAATGTATGTTGGACTCAGCGTAGCAACATCAAAATTTGGGTTTGAATGTAGGGTCAGAGATTACTATGAACATGTTTTTTTTGTTTTATTAAACATAAACAAAAATACTTGCCTAACGTTTTTCGAATCCCGCTGATTTTGTCAATTGTTTATAATCGTACAGAAATAATGATATATTCTGTACAGCTTTTACGATTTGGTAATTTTTATTTTTTTTATACCCTTGTCAAAGCTATTATAAAGTTTGCAACGCAGTGAATGAGACATTTTCGACTATATAAAGTATATATGTTCTTAATCATCATCGATCTAGCCATGTCCGTCTGTCTGATTCAATGTTGTTAAACATATACGCAAATAAATCAAATGTTTTCAAGAATATTTAATTTTTGAAATAGCTGCAAGGGTATAAAAGCTTCCGATCTTGTTTTTTACCTTTAAGATGAATAGAGTTATTGGCAACATGACATTTTTTTATTAGTTTTAAGTTAGTAATATTTGTTTTGTCCGGCTTAAGACGGCCGTATGCAAAACTGATATTTTTTTTCTTTTTTTCCTATATTGCTTTCCAACCGCCTGTCGTTTTGGCACCAAAATAAATGGCACAACAGCTTGGGCCTTAATTGTTGTCATTATGTGCGTGTTTTTGCGACTTTCGCGCCAAACACTCGCTGGTCGATCGAGTCCACTGACTATCGGAAGACCATCGACTCCTTTGGGCCATTGCGTGCAGGCGGCAGTCGGCAGTTCCTTGCTGATCATTGACTGATTCCATAATTGATTGGTCCGAGGATGGCAGGGCTCCAAAGTTGAGGCCTGTTCTTCTGGCCGTGGGGCACAATTTTTTTAGAAACGACGTTCGACGACTTGAGTACTTTTACTTTTGCCCCGGCCACCATCGAAATGTAAATTAGCCGACCGAGTTCGCCAAAAAGCGGGGCTACCAAAAATTTATGTGGCAGGCCAGAGGATCGCATGACTGACGGCCTTTCGTCCTGTGGAGCTGCATTTTTGAATTAGTTTAATAACACAATTAATTGTTATTTATAGCTTCCTTTGTGTTGCGCAAACGTAACATTTAAGGGGAGAAATCTGCTGGCCAGACACAATTTTGTGGCACGCAAGGGCCAATTTGGAGGGGCCACAGGTAGAAGGTATATAGAACTGGCTTAACGATTCTCAGCTGGGCCTAATGATAGACTTGGCCAAGTTAGCTGTGATGTGGGTGAGGGATAGCCGTCGGAGGAATGCTTCTGGCTGGGCTCCTTCCATCTGCGCCACAGGATCCACTTCGCCGGAGTCTGGAAAGCCGCCATGGTCAACATAAATATCCAACAGAAATGACACTTTTCGTCCCTTCCCGCTGCGTTGGTTCGCATTAAGTTTATTTATCTACTTTTAAATGGCATTTTCACTTGCATATGATTCTCCCCGTTCGCCCTTGTAATGCGCAATGGAAACAAAGGCAACATAATGTAACAGCCGCCATAACAGCACGAAGATGCCCACACTGCAGATACTCCAGACTCTGCACTCCATGACTACCATTTACCACTACTATTTTTAGTAGTGTCATAAATTTATGGCACATTGTGGCAGTGGCAGTGGCAGTGGTAGTGGTAGTGGCTAGGCTTCTACTCGAACAGGCTCACGTGGAGGTGCCTGGAGGAAAGGGAAGGAAAGGAAAGGAGCTGGTCTTAACATGCAAAACAACATGCTAGCTGGCACCTACTTTGGCCATCCGAAAAGATTTACCGATGAAGTCGTTGGGAATGCAGAGCGAAGCAACGTCTCCATGCCATTTGGCAATCAAACAAATCAAATAGGTAGAGCGGATTCGGTTACATCAGTTTTATAGATCCCATTTCGGATCTGTTAATTAAAAGATACACACCAACTTCAATAGAACAGAAAGGCAAACAAATCTTTGGGCTGAACAAACACTGGATCAATAGCGGCACTCTGTGAGATACATACGCTGGGTTTTACGCTGCGCTCACTGTTTCGAGTGTTTGTTTGACTTGGCTTAAAAGCCAATAAAATTTGTTGTTAATTGTTTTGGTAAATTGAAAATTAGGTTTTGGGAAAAATCATCGCTCAAGTATGCAAGGAACGAGTTCAGGTTCCAGTTTTGTATCGGGGTTTCCAGTTTTATGTCTGTTTGCCCAGCGCATTAACTTGGCCACTTTTAATGAACTTTGTGAGTGGAACCATCTGCCGCCATCGCCATCCGATCGAGCGGTCATCAGCGGTCTTAGCCCTTCCAAACGAGACAAATCGAATCGTTTTGCCGAAACCGAGCTGAACTTTAATCGGCTTAAGTGTAATTTAACTTATTTCTATGACTTTAGCCCCGTTCTCCACCGCGGGCCAGCAGAAATCGGTTAATTAAAGTTGTACAAAGTTCGAAGCCGATTTCATGCCGCGTTGAATCAACAATTTGTAAACTTTTCCGTACTATCCAACTAACTGAGGATGAGGATTGGGGGGCGGAAGGCTCGGGACGGGCCGTTCAAAAGGGGGCCATCATTTGTACTTAGTTAAGTGCTTGATCATGCTGATATCATCACCTGGCAACTTTCCTTTGTGCCCTACGTACCCACAATGCAATTAGCGGGGTCTGCAGACGCCAGGTGGTCTCCAGTCTCTCCCATCTCCACTCTCATCTTAAATCGAAAATCACCAAGAATCGGTGAAGAAATAAAAACAAAAAATGTAATTTGTATTACATTATGGGTGCAGCGAAGATGGCAGCGGGTGCGAGTCGAGATTGATTTACCCTTCGTGGCGATTCTCAAATAATTTACTTATGCGATTCTAATATTCTAAAAGAGCATACAACTATGCCTTTCTATGCGGTTCTCAAAATCTTTACTTATCGTCACTTCTTTATGTTCTTATGCTTTTAATTGATTGTAAACAAATTATAGATATAACTAGATTTTATTTGTTCAACTCATATATTGTACTAAATATTTAAAATTAAATAAAATATTTTTTGTAATTGTTTTTATGTTGTTCCCTTTAAAGTATCTCTTTTTATCCAAACCGATATACCCAAATTAAGGGCACCACAGCCTCAATAAATCGAACCGCTGTGTTGACAGTTATTGATCGATGATATTGTAAACACAATGTCCAAATTAATTTTAATCTCGCTCTCTGTTTTTGTGCTTTTCTCCGGCCCCCAGTGATCTTTTGCCTTCAATTGTACAAACTCATTTTGTTGATTTGTAATTGACTTTTTTTTTGACTTCGGCGGTTGGTCTAATGAATCCGCTTAAGCTCTTTCTAATGCAGACTTCCACGTTTTTCCTCCATCTGCCCCTTTTGAAAGTGTCAGAGAGGGAGAGAGAGAGAGAAAGAGAAAGAGAGCTCAACGTTCCAATAAGTGACACTGACTAATTCGGAACCATTAATCTCGGAGCTGCTTAGCGTCACTCATGCTGGCCGGGCAGCCATCAATACGCATCAAAATCGAATGCGAATTGTGCATGTTTACACGGACGGAGATGCAAGCACAGCTGGGGTAAAATTACTAGATCTAGGTAAATGCTCAATATAAATATAAAATTATCATAATTTGTTATTATGAAAAAAAAAACAAAAAAAAACCTATATATAATATATACATTTGAAATATGACAAAAAACCATTTAACATGTTAAGTCACTAATAAAATAGGTCAAACCGACTGGCTACAGATATTATCTACGTTTAATTCCATTCCCCTAAAAGCCAATTTAGATTTGTAGCTCTTAAATTATAAGTAACTAATGGTTGCGCAGCCATTAGTACTACTATTTTGACTGCAGGTGTGGCTTTACAGCCTGCATGACGAATGTGCGACCGCAGCGTCTCGGTTGGGTGTCGGTCGGTTTGGTGTCCCTGATTCGCCTTATTTCTAAGCCCGGTACTCAGTGCCCGTTTCGATTCTTATAGCCTGGTCCAAACCCATTCCCGTTTCCCATTTCCTCGGACATTTGAGTCGAACACGGCTGTAGACGCGGACGTGGACGAGAATGTGAATCTGGACGTGGATGTGGACGTGGACAAGGCGTGCAATCAAGCCGCGTGTCTGGCAGTCAACTAGTCACTCACTTTGGCCAGAGAGACTGCGTCAGTCCGTCAGTCAAATGCTCGCTTTAATTTCGCTATCCCCTCAATATCTGAAAACAGAGGTATAAATACATTTTCAAGATTAAAATTCCTATTTACAGATAAAAAATGCTTGTACATTAAACAAATGGCAAATAGTAAAAGACAAAACTAAAAAATTTATAATGATTTTTTTTGTTTTAGTAAAAAGAGATCTTGCTGCACAAAAATAAATGGATAATATTACGAAGTAAGATGCAAATATGAACCTCTCGAGAAAAATATAGATGAATATTTGATATGAATATACAATTTGTGCATTGTTTTTATTATTTAAAATAAAGAATTATTGTAATGAATAATTCTTTATGTAATATTTATAAGAACGAGTTTAGTAAATAATTTTCATTGATCAGTCAGTGATAAATTATGCAAAAATAGTTTTCAGTGTATAGCTACATGAGTTGCTGGAGCTGCATGACTACCGGGCATAATTTCTGCCCGACCGAACGAAATATGGGTTCGAAATGAACACATTGCCAGGTTGGCGGCTCTGCGCACGCGCACAGTTGTTGGCCAGGCTAAGAGGCCCCTTCGTGAATTTCCGGATCTCCCCCCAATTCCTTCTGCATTCTCCACTCCAATCTGCGGTTCGTTTTGGCCTGGCGACACTCGTAACCGCAGGGCGACGGCACAGCCCGTTTTCGATTAACGATGACCATGCTTGAGGACGAAGACGAGGACGCGGATGGAGGCAACTTGAGCGTGTGCCAGCCAAGCGAAATGCAGTTGGAGGCCCCACAGATCACTCGCAGAGCTAGAGCTAGGTTACACTACGAGAAATAACATTTAATACATTTAAAGGATATATATTTGGTTCCTTATACTGTAACTCAATAACTACACCAATTTGTAGCTATGCTTTTTGGCTACAATACTGACTTACAAATTTTGAAGTCAACTGTTGTTAACTTGCATCAAAAATGATATATTTAACCAAAAAAATGTAGCATTAAAAAAATTTTATAAATCTTATATAATGCTTTCTTAACTATAAAATTACTTTTTTTAAGCACTCGTATTAATCTTTTGATTTCAGTCAAATTATAAAATAAAATATGGTAAAACTTGATTATTTCTCTTAAATGTATAAAACTAAATTATAATATAAACGTTGAGGTTAACCACAAAAGATAAAACTAAATGTGTTTAAGTTCATGACAGGTGACAGTTTATGCCATTTACTTATTTATACCGATCTTTTTTTGTGATCTAGAATTTATATTTTTGACCAGTGTAAGTCCGAGTTGAGGTCTAAGTACGCGGCAACGCCTTCGGTTTACATTTTACAATCCTAACAAGGTTAGGCCGGCCGATAAACGGAGCTGCACTCGTTTGGTTATAAGGCTAGGTTGTGATCTGAGGTTTCCAGCTGAAGTTGCAGCCGAGGTGGGAGCCGGAATGGTAGTTTGTGGTGGGGCGGGGGCTTGGGCATCGGAACTCCGAGCTTGGAGCTGGAGGTGGCACATGCCTAACCAGCAACCACGCTGCTATGCAAACACACACACTAGGAGCGGAATGGTGGCCATGGCTACGAGCTGTACATACGGAATTGCACATTAAAAATGAGCAATGGGAGTGGGCGGTGGGGAGTGTGGTGTGAGGGGAGCGAGCGGGTTGATTCGAGCCGAGCGATGTCTTTTTCTGTGGCAGAACAAGGTTGGCCTGGCCTGCGACGCCGCTGCACTGGAAAAAACTTGCGGTTTATAATAAATACACCGCCATGAACAATTTAAAAAATTCGAACTCTACTACACTTTTACAATTATTTTCAATCTGAATTAATGAATAATTTTAATAGCCATTATAAAATTATGTTGGCGTTAATGCTAGCTGGAGTTGTACTTTTCGGGCCAGAACTTGCCCCGTTTAAACCAAATTTTTTATAAGTTCAATAGGTGCTGTTAAGTTATCTGAAAAATGTGGAATTTCTCGCAGTGCACCGCCGACTCTGGTTAATGCAATTCGGGCGAAAGGCGCACAAAGGGACAGCGAACAAGATGCCGAGTTGCTGATTGTGCGGGCAGCGCTGTTGACGCAGGCAGAGGCAGCCGCAAGAGCTTTTGTCGCCGCCACAAACATGGAATATGACAAGCTGGTGAGGAGCAGGATGGGATCTGGATGGGATGGGATGGGATAGGATGGGATGAGATGGGATCGGGATGGGTTGGGTTGGGCTAAGAGGAGAAGGAGGAGATACTGGATGTGGATGGTTGCCCGGCATGCAAAGCATTGTCAAGTGGGGAGCAGGCCAAGTGCTATACAAAAACCAAGCGACAAAGAAACGTCGCACAACGCAGCCGACGCACGTGAGATGTGGATGCATTTGATACACTGAGCGAAAAGAGTACAATTCAAATATCAATTAAAATTAAGGAGGCAGTTTTCCTTATAAATTTATTTATATTGGGAGTTCATGAACTGAGTGTTGTGACATATTAAAAGAAATGTTGTCCGTTTAAAGGAGCTTTTTCAGATAGATTGCAGCAAATAAAGCCATTCTTGTTATTTATTTTTTTTTCTATGCACCTAGAGCTCTAACTTCTGGTGATTTGTTAAAAACTATTTTCTTAGTCCAAAATTGCTGATATTTATTTAACAGGTTTTTACAATATTTAAATGTTGTTATAAAGTTTGATCTTAAATGTAGAAGGAAATGTTAGTGCTTAAAAACGTTTTTTCTCAGTCTCACATCGGTTTGGCACACGTGTTTGCTCTGCATTACTATTTATTAAATCCTCAAATGTATATATATTATTCTAACGTTATTTTTCGAGTGTAATATTTAAGTGTGTACGTTGTGTGGGCAGGGAAAAAAGCTGGAGAAAGAGAGACGGAGAGAGCGAGAGACAATGGCGACAATAAAAATGCGATCGCACAACATGCTCCACAGATAAGTTAACGCAAAGTGACAACGTACAACTTTTAATGGAATTGTCGTCGCCAAGGGGCGGAGGAGAGTGGTATCGCGACGGGAGGGGTAGGGATATATGACATTGCCAAGAAATCGTCTCCACATTTGGAGCGCTGCCAAGCTGGTTGAGCTTTGTTTACTTAAAGGATACGTAAGCCAACTGGAAAAAGGGACCTTCAACGACTACGGTATTGTATTCCAATTCCGATACCGATCAGAAAATGGGCGGAGCGGGGGCGACACCCACGAAGAGCGATCGGCTGACACGAGGAAGAAAATCGCCTTCGGCAGCTACTGTGGCACAAGTTAAAGAGAGAGAGAGCCGAAAGCGCGAGAGGGAGCGAGCAGCGATCAAAGAGAGCGCCTGCTCCCATTGGAAATTCGCAGTTGCAGCGGCCCACGCTTCCAATTGGAGCAGGTCTACTCTCTTGCTCTCTCTTTTGAGCTCTCTCCTCGCTCTCCCACTGACTGGTCTTTCTGGTTTTTGTTTTGTTTACGATTTTCGCTGGAAAGGAGAGCAGAGGCCGAGCCGCCAAGCCAACTCGAAACGCGCTTCCCAATGAGTTGTTTTCCAATCTTGCAACCAGCAAGACGTGAGTGCGCGCGTGTTGAAAGAAAACGAATGAACCAAACTCGAAAAACCAAAAGTTCGTAAAATCAAGACCCCCTGCTAAAAATTAAAAGTTGAGAATAAACGAGTACAAAACCTAGTGATCGGATCAAAAGTGGCTTCGATGTGCGCGTAGTGGCCCGTAATCGTATGATGAGCCTGACTGTGCTCTCGCTGCCGCAACGTTTCAAGCGAATCCTGCAAGCCATGATGTTAGCCGTCGCCGTCGTCTATATGACCCTACTGCTCTACCAGAGCGCCTACGGATATCCGGGCATCCAAGTGAGTTCTGATCGAGAGTGGGCGAACGATATGTTCAGTGCGTGGGTGTTGTGGCCCCGCGAAACTGTCATACTGCTGATCTGCATAAGTTGCACAGGCCAGACAATTTGCATTATCCCCTATCCCTATACCGATACCGATTCCCAATTCTCAATCCCCGATCCTGACGACGACGACGATTCGTGCACTTTCATAAATCAACGCCGGCGACTTTTGCAGCTGCGCATGCGTCCAACGTCCGGCTTTGGCCGTTAAAAAACCTTTTACGCCCTTGCCTTGCATATAAAACAGTTTCGGCTCTTTGGTTTTTGCAATTTTATACCCTTATTGGGGGTATCATAATTAAGCTCCGATGTTTGCAAAAGGGTCTTAAAAGGATATGTACTCTTTAAAGAGTAAATTCCTCGTCAATTTAAGGACTGTTCAATTCTATAAGTTAAGGAGATCGAAAGATTATGTTTTAAAGTTGCATCTACCAATATTTGGCCAAGCTTTGCCAATGCTTAAAGTGTTGTATAAAGGTCTAGCAATTTCAATATGTTTATAGTTAAATATTTTTAAATTCGAACCCTTGTCAGATTTAAAGATGAAGATTGTGAAGATTTAGCTTGATCCAAATGAGAAAAATAAAAAAAGAGATTTAGCGAACGTTTATATAACACCTCACTTAATCAATCTTCCCGGATAAGTATATAATAGCCCAATGGATCCTATTAAGATTATCCGATATTCTAATATCCCATAGCTACAATGGAATTAAGACCCTGCAAGAGTATACAAAGTTTTGATTCCTGAAACAACTGTCTACCTTTTTTGCATTTTTTTTGCCGTCGGCAGAGCGTCGCCAAAGCTTTCAGATGCCCGATTCCAGGGCCTGTCAGGGTTCTGAGCCCTGTCTTCTCTCCCCATTTATTATTGTTCTCCTTTTTTACTTCGGGTTTTGCATAAATTTTTGTGTAATAAAATATTGTGTGCTAATATTACGAACGTGGGGTTGAGAGGGGCAGTCCAAGAAGACTGAGCTAAACGGATTCGTCCAGTGGAAAGTCTTGTCAGTCGCATCACAGATAAAAAATAGTTGAGGTCCGTGGGAACTGGCTTACATCGCCTCGCGTTGCATCCAAAAATAGTAAACAGTTTCGAGTGTTTGCATTCTTTTGACACCTTCTAATCAAAATTCGAGTAAAATTTCCATCTAATGATAAAAATACCTTAACAAAATTTAGAAGCTCAAATTATTATAAAACATTTTAATACATTTATTGAATTGTTCACAAAAACTATTCTCAATCAGCAAAGATACCCTAAATTGGTTTCTCAATTTATTAAAATTATAACCAATAGTTTTTTAAATCAGCTAAAGTATAATTTTGTTCAGAAAAATATCTCTGTTTTCAATGAAGACATTTTCTGACACATCTTTGCTTTGAATGATGGTTTTTTCCCCTTTCTTCGATCAGTAATCCAAGCTTAGGAAACTTTTGCCTTTCGCCCCTGGCAACAGAGTTTAGAGCTCATAATTGAATCAGCTCCTGCATCCTTAAAAATATCCATGTAATCCCCCATTCACCACTTTCCGGTTCCTCAATTTGCAACTCAATTGCTCAACTTCGGGGCTTCTGTGAGTTTGTGGCCCTTCCTCTGTAATGTTTTCGCATGCTGCTTCTAGTGTAATTAAAAACTTTATGTTGTTTTAATTCGGACAATGTTGTTGATGTTGCTGTTGTGGATCTTCCAGTTGCTTTTTTTCTTTTTTCTGTACTGGGGTCTAACCGGAAACTCGGCAGAAATTAGTGCTACACACATCGCACTACTAAATGCTGAGCCGGATTAAAAACTGTCGACAGCCGCTGCTTGTGTTGTTAGTCTTTTCAATTGAAGTTCTTCCATCGGAGGTCTGTGACTTGTCCCAGTTAAAAAAACTGCATGCCATGTACAATTTGCTTAATTCTTTTTTGTATTTTATTTATGAGTGTTCTTTTTTGTTCCGTTCCTAAATGTTGCGCAAAAATTGCTGTTTGTTGACTTGGCTTTGCTCGATTCTTCGAACTGTGGAACAGTTGACTGGACACATACTAAACTGGGCTTGGCATTCGGCTGATAAAGCAATAATTTCAAGATTAGGTGGGGGTTTGGGGTCTAAAAACCCCACCTTTCGAAAGTCTCCAGTATCCCATGTCCCATGTCCAGTTTGCAACTCACGTCGCCAGGTCGCCATGTCGCGTGTTGCTGACGCATAAATCATAAACGAAATGAATAATAATCGTCAAACGATTTGGTTGTTTATGAATTTGTTTAAAGTGGCGCGCCGAATGGCCATCAGTCGCTGATTGATTCGAGTAGTTTGTTGTGGCTACACTGAACAGAAATGTGACACATTCGACTGGGGTTTCATAACATTCTTAGACAAGCTGAAAATGAAGCAAAGGATTGAAAACTGTAATGTACTCAATTACCTAAGTTTGTTTTATTCGAGAAAGACACTTTTTTTGTTCAACTGACTCACTCGACTTTACTTTTGATATTTAAGATAAATATTAAAATTATTAAGACAATTAAAAAAAGTTTCCTACAACTAAATTTGATTCCATTGGCTTAAAAATATATTAAGTTCAATGAAAATTGTCTAGATTATTAGGCAGCTATTAGGCTATAATGTGATGAAAAGGTTTCTTTGAAGAAATGGATTAAAAACTTTTTAATAATTATATTCAAAATGTATTTATACATTTAAACAATTTATTTTTGCTGAGTGCAAGGTAAATACATAATAACATTAACAAACTCTTCAGCTGAGGAGCATGCAAATCAGCTTCAGGAAAGCAACAGCCAGAAGAAGCAATCGAGGCACCCAGAGACAAAGACCGTGATGATGTGATTCCTGTTTTTGGCCAGGCCAAAAGCAGGTGCCTGCTCTTCCCATGGCCAACTTGATGCAGCTGGTTGCAGCTACCTTTTCGTGCCCCACAATCCCTCCCTTGAGCCTTGAGCCCGCTCACATAATCAGCCCGAAAAAGTTGACGACATTAAGCTGCAGAAGGCGCCTGATAAAAGGAGTATCTGCAGCTGGGCAACCGAGTATCTGGGTATCTTTTGGTGGTCGCTTAATTGAGCCTGGATGCTTGGATGCTTGTCTGCCTGGCTGCTGTTGTGTGTATCTTATCTTAGATTCGTATCTTACGGATAATATTGTTAAACAGCATTTAATGAAGATTTTCCAGCTCGCCCAGCTGGAGGCGCTCGGTTCTGATTGCATTTTTTGGGGGAATGCCTTTGATTTTCGATTTCGCTGATTTATGTTTCCCGTTATGGGACCAGAGTTTAACTCAATTAATCTTCGCACAGGTCGCGCGGGGGTAGATTCCATTTGGCGCCCTTTCATATCATTCACTCGCACCTCGCCGCCCGATTCTTTTGGTTTGCTCATTATTAATTGACATGGAAATGTTTATAAACATATTAATCACTTGGCTAATGAAGCATTAGTCATTCGAGTGGGCGTGGTGGGGGGGCAGAGATTGTTCGGACCGTGTTAAATTTGTTTTGGGATTGGCTTCGTTTTTGTATCTATCGCCTTTCGCCCGGTACTTGTATGATGTGCACAGAGAGAAATATTTAAGTTTAATGACTGATCTTAATATGAAATGTTAAAAAGTAACCTTTTAATGTTTTAGAATATAATAATTAAATCTTATTATAGCATTAATAAACAAAAAGAGCAATAGAATAGCACAGAATAAAATTATTTCAATGATTTTCTAATAAGAACCTTAATACAAACTTCGTTTAAACTTTTGCAACTGTGTATTTTAATTAAATTCTGTGGCAATACACCAAATTTCTTTTGGTTGGTTGAATAAAAGCACAAACCGCAGAAAAGTTTTGTGGTCATGTGACACTATTTTGCCTGCTAAAATTTCTAATTATTTTCTGTGTAGTTCGTATATTGTGTTTTGTATCTTGTATCTGACGGAGTGCGCAGGCGGCTTGCATATATGGGCACATGTGTATCTGTATCTCTTCTAACTGAATCTGAATCCGCAACTCTACCCTGTATCTGTATCTGTATCTGTGCTTGTACAGTTTCATCACGTTCGAGTAATTCGCAAATCCCACAAAAGTGTCACAAAGCGTTGCTGTTTGTAGTCCGTATAGTCCGTGTACTTGATTTGCATGCTAGTACGGGTACGTCGCAATTGCATCATGTCGGGGATTGGAAACTGGCTCACATTCTAATCCAATCCGAACCTTGAATTTACGGAACCCGCTTAATTGAAAGAGGCGTTCTCCGCGTTATATAACCCACTCAGCGACGGCTTTCACTGTTTTGCAGCTGAATCCCTCACAAGTCAAGTCACGACTTCTTCGCTATCTTTCTTGGGCAAATCTCCGTACGATTTCCCATATTCGCAGTTTCAGTCGCTGCCAAATTAATATTTCAACATTTTAATTGCTTGGGATATCGGGTTCAGGTTTCCATCGGCGACGACGGCAGTTTACACCTGCCGCTGTCATCGTCTCACTCCCCATTCCCATTCACATTTCCTCATTAGGGAGTTGCCATTATATTGAACACCGTTTGGCCCTCGATCGTGCGGCAATAAAATTCTATGAGCCCAACTTGTAGCCGCTATCAACGAGACAATATCGTGTGAAGCATTATAAACCAGCGGGGCCAAAGAGAAATCTCCCTATTGGACAAAAGTAAAAAGGGGGAAGCTGGTTTAGCTAGATTTATAGCGGAAGTTGCTTTCCGATTTGCATAGGAAAAGAGTGCTAGAACTGGGCTGTCTTTCACCCGAGGTATTACCTATTCGAGCTGCTTACCTCGAACCTTATCTCTGCCTCAATCAAAGCGAAACTTCTGGCCCATTGCCCATGCCCCATGCCTATGCCTATGCCCCACCTGTCCCCGATTCCGTGGAGGGCCATTAAAACGAGCGCTGGGGAAATCTCGAAGAAGAGCAATTGAAGAATCGCCGACAACAAAAGCAAATGAACCTGTTATCAGTGGAAATTAATCAAGCAGTTCACTCCGACTCAAAGCAATCTCAGTGGGTTCTCGTCTCACCGTCCCAATCCCTATCCCAATCCCTATACCGATCCCGATCCCGGTTTGTTTGCTCTTACTCAGCATTTATGGTGGTGTTGCTGTTGTTTATTCTGCCTGCTGCCGCTCATTTGTTTGCCATTGTTGTTTGCCATTGAAGTTTGCCTTTGTTTGCCAGGTGAAAATGCCCGAAGTTGGGTCCGAGGAGTGGGAGTTCCAGTACCAGTACCAGTACCAGTCCCTGTTCAAGTCCCAGTTCGAGTTCAAGTTGAGTGTCTTCGATAGAGCGGGGGCGTCTTCATCTTTTTATTGCCCTACGTGCGATTTACACAACAAATTTACATTAACCCCCCGCCACTTGCTATATTTTTCTGGCCCACACTGCGAGAAAAGGGAAGACCAGAAAAAAAAGAACCTTTTTATTATATTACAAAAGTCAATGACCAAATAATGGTTGAGATTTCAAACTTTCATTCAGCTTATATTTATTTTTTAATAATTTTCAAAAAATGAAGAGAATGTTACTTGGTAGCTTTAAATTTTCATAATATTAATTTTAACTTAATAATTAGCTTAAATATTCATTTGTAATGAATACTAAAAATATCTTTTTGACGATTTAGAATTGATTTTTTTGACTTTCTTAGATGCTGGTATTACTTTTGGAGCAAGTAATCAAAATTAAAAAACATTTTTGGATCGAAAACTGACGGAATTTCTCTCTCTGCAGGTGCCGCACAGCCAGGTGGATGGCCTGTCCAGCGAACCTGTAACCACACATCGCGACCAGCTGCTCCAGGACTACGTGCAGTCCTCGACGCCCACCCAACCGGGGGCGGGGGCACCGGCCGCCTCACCCACCACCGTCATAATCCGCAAGGACATCCGCAGCTTCAACTTCAGCGACATCGAGGTCAGTGAGCGACCCACGGCCACCTTGCTGACGGAGTTGGCGCGGAGGAGCCGAAATGGGGAGCTGCTCCACGATTTGTCACAGAGAGCGGTGACTGCGACGCCCCAGCCGCCGGTCACCGAGCTGGATGACATTTTCATCAGCGTGAAGACGACGAAGAACTATCACGACACCCGGCTGGCGTTGATCATTAAGACCTGGTTCCAATTGGCCCGCGATCAGGTGAGTCTGCCACCAACGATCGTCTAACGATCGATCTGCGATTAGTTGGAGCTAATTTCCTGTCAGGTCGCCGGTGGGTGGGCGACAATTGGCTAAGTGGGGTTAGCTCCAAAGGTTGCTAACCGAGATCGAAGATTTGGCAACCCTGGCTTGGGTTTGGCCAATTTGCATAATGAGTTTTTAAGCTGGCGGGAATTGATTCGATTTCGTTGGTTAATTTTATGTCTGGCGATTTATGATTTTTTTTTGGCGGTCGCTTAATTGGCCATAAAAATGTCTTCATTCATTTGGGGCTTAGCGGCTACGAATATGGCTAATAGCATTTGCTTTTGTGGTCGAAAAAAATAACAAAATAAACTAAACGATCGCTTTTGTTTATGATTTCATTGAGTGCTAAACTGCTAAACCAAAAAATATAATCGAATTCCGGCCGCTCAATGGGTTTTCATGTGGTGAAAGGATATTTGTTGTTGTCATTGTTTAAGTTGCTGTTGTGGCTGTTGCTGTTGTGGCAGCAATATCGTCTGAAACGGGGTGCCAACTTATGCAAAATCACGCGTCACAAATGTGTTTTGTTATTGTTTACACAAAACTGCACTCGTCGTTGCTGACAGACATTGCAGGCAAGTCACAACAGCAACATCACCGAGTTACAGCAGCAGCAACAAAAGCTACAACAGCAACAGCAACAACAATACCGAATACAAAAACATGAACCGAAAACACAAATAAATAACCCCCAAAGGAACATGCCAGTGTGTGTATTGTACCTTTTTGGAAAATTGTAAAAATGCTTGACGAGCACGTTTCGAGGCATTTGCCATCAGCAAGAGAAACTGCAGCAGCGACAGCAGCAACGGCAATAAAAGGGGTTTTTTTCTCTCATATTTGCAAACCCCTCAGGACTGGCAGGGGCTTAAAAAACAAAAAAAAAAGAGTTTAATGGGTAGGTGTGGGGGGTGAAATTTTATTTTTTCCTCCTGAAATTGGTTATCGTTATCGGCATCGATTGGCCCAGCTCAGTTGCCACACTAAACGTTCGAACAACATTCACCGGCAACAAGCTCCGTTTGGTCAACAGGCAACAAAAGTTGCTCCTGTGCACTTGCAACATTTCACAGCAGCAACGGGCAACATATCGCTGGTAACAATTGGCGTCTGCCGCCTCTGCTCCTCATCTTTTCCTCTATTTTCTTTTCGATTTGGCCAATTATTTTGATGGAAACTCTGTGGCTCATGTTGTTGCACGTCATTTGCCGTGTGGTTAACAGCAATGTGGAGCAGCGACAGGCAACAACTCAAAGCTGCGTTCGATTTGATTGGCTGCGCAGCAGCGTTTGAAAACAATTTGTTGTAATTGCTTGCTGCTGTTGCTCTTGCTGTTTGTTGTTGTTGTCATCGATGAGTTGTTGTTGCTGTTGATTAATGTTTTGTTTGGTTGTTGTCAAGACAGCGCCCATAAAAGGGCAAAGCCTGACTCGTCGAACCCGATGTCGAATCGATGCTGAGCTTGTTTTCAGGAAGACTCGAAATGGGTATCACAAGACGTGGGTATTCTTCTGCTTTTGTGGCTGTAATTGGGAAATTGAACAAATTTAAAAGCCATGGGGAGTAACTTTTAAGTAATATGAGCTTAGGTTTACATTAGTTGTTGAATTTCATTTATTTTTCACAAGCTTAAATTAGATAATTTAAGTAATTAATTGCTAGAAAGTGCGGATATCATAATGTTATCATAATATTATTTTAAACAATTTGCTGACATTGAAAGTACTTAAATTTAATAGAGCAAGTAGCAGTCCTAATAAATCAGTTATAAATTAAATACTGAACTGTTAGAAAGAACAGTTTTTAGACATCTTAAGTCCTTTGTATTAAATTAAAAATTAAGCAGAATCATACAATACAGAAGTACTCACTGAAGTAGCTAAAATCTCAAAAGTCTTTTTGCCAAGTTTTTGGAGGTCAATGTACCACTCGAAACCCGGCAACTCTGTTTGCCATTACAGATCAAGAGATCTGGTACTTGACAACGACCTACCCCCCGCCCCACTCCCCACTTGTTTGTCGGACGTTTGATGAATGATTCAAATTTTTCATGCTTACAAATGAGCATAAATTACTGTAAACAGTTTTGGCCAAAACTGGAGAGCCGTTGCTGCAGTTCGACTTTGATTGAATGCCCGATGCGGCTTAGACATGGGGGGAAATCGTTTTGCATTTTCGTTTTTATTTCCACTTGGATATTTTCCGGCGAACCTCCAGCCTGCCACTGACTTTTGTCTCGACCTGCACTGACTTTGGCTACCAGTTTTTCCAAAGCAGCCCGATTTGCATGCACTCCGCGGTCTGAGCCTCATTTGTTGGGCCAGCGGACGCATGTCAAATGTCAGCACTGGATCTCTGTATCTCTGCAACGGCGGATAGATCGGCGAACACGGACTGACAGCTTGTCCACGGAGTGTTCCTGTGGGTGGTTGTCTCGATTTGCTTGTCTTGATTTACTATTTACTTTTAATGAAGCTTCAGAGCTTCAGAGCCTCAGAGTTACGGTTGCCTGACTTATTGTTTGATTGATTCGCATGGAAACTAAAGCCAGTTAACCTGTTTGCCTTTTATTCACGTTGGTTCTGGAGAAAAACTGGATATCTCTAAAGCTCGTCGCATTTTATTAGGCCCACATGTACTTGGTCCCCGGCTCCCTGGAAAAACAATGTCGTAAAACTCTGTTAGACCACTCGGTGCTGATTTTGTTTTCATTTTTTTTGTATATTTTTTTTTGGTGTCGCCGGTCCCCAGTTGGGGCTATTAAATTCATAACGCGCCATGTCCCACAGTTGCGGCTTAAATCTCATTAACTCGGCTCCTTTGCTGGCATTTCTCCATTCTGCAGTCTGCGCTTTAATGTCGCTGCTGTGACTTTGAGCACGGCTGAATCACTGGCCTCTTGGACGTTGACAGCCAGACCCGTCCAAAAAGCCAGTGATGAATCACTAAACGGCACACAGCCGGTGCCCACTGTTATGTACTGTGTGCATTGTATATGTTCTAGTACCATATCGCGTCTGGTTGCGTCAGTTGCTCATAAATAAGGAAACGGACCTCGTCGTCCGCCCGGCCTGCCATCCGCACTTGGTACGATCTCGTTGTTCAAGTTTTTGAGCTTTCCTGCTTTGATTTGGCTTTTTCCCCCGGATTCATGTGTATGAGCATGCAATGCCAATTAAAGGCCAATTAATGACAATAGTCGGTACCGAAAGTGTGCCGCCAACGCACAAGATAGAATACAAAACCAACAGATGTTTGTATAGTAGTTTTTCGATACAGTGTGGATCGAAATTGCGATGCTGTTTAACTAAGTACTAGAAGAGCAATTACTAGATATGTTGATTACAAATCGATTAGGAAAAGAATTAATGAATTATTAATTATTTTTGAAAATTACAAATATCCATTTTGTCGGACGATAATCGAATATAAGAAAAAATTGTATTAAAACCAAAAATCTAAAAAATTATAAGCAATATTTTCCAAACTTAAGTCATTTGAGAGTTGGTTTACTTAGATTTCTACCAGTTTGTTATTATTTCTGTTTACGAGTTTTCTCTCAGTTGGTATTCCCTTTTCACTTACGTTTTTTCTTTCAAGTTCATAAATCCATGCCCCAATGAACCGCACTGTATAAAGCGCATTCATAGCCACTCGGGGCTTTATCATATAGTAACAGCCCGTGCCTGAACTTTTGCGAGGGCCTTTGCTCTGTTTGAGTTCTGCTCTCAATGCTCTTCAATTGAATTCAATTCGCAATAAATTGGAATTTCAATTGTTGCTGCTTTTTCGTCCGCTGGCGGCGACACAATTTCGTCAGTCATACAACCGCCTCCCCCCCCACCCTACACCTCATCGCAACTTTTATCCAGCAACACCCGCATGCAACTTCCTTTTTAATGGCTCTCGTTGTCAGTTCATATTTGCGTTGTGAACATATCTGAATATGTACACACATATAGGAGGAGGATGACCTGTTCTGTTTATCCGCAACGAATTCGATTTCAGAATGTCCCGGTTGATTGGCTCTTAATCACTTTGCCATCGCATTAATTGAATGCTGAGTCGAATACCTCTCTGAATGAATACCTACCTATTCGATTTCAGAGAGTTGATTTGACTCACAACAAATCACGTAATTGATTCATTTGCTTGGTTTCTGTTGTGAGCATTTAACACTTTTGTACCCCAGTTGCCGTGGGGCATATTCTTCAGGTCAAGACAGATCTCGTGGTCCGGGGTGTACAGGTGTTTCAGGGGAGGGGCAGAGATCTCACGAAGAAATCCCAAAAACCCATAATTAAAATCTCGGCCTTTGTGGTTTTGTAGCTGAAGAAGATTACGCAAAATGTGAAACGCCCAGAAATTGTGGTCGCTTCCTGAATTGAACGTTGCGTGTGCGTTGGTGCTGAGGAACCTATTGTTATGGGAAGCACTTTGGCCTAGGAAGGGATAGAACTTTTTGGAAAATAGCTGGTGTTTTTTTTTTTGAACATAAGATAAATTAGTTTTGGTGCTTATAAAGATTTATTTAAGTTCATGATTGAGCACTGAAACCTCCTACAGAATTAATACTACCTAATGCCTTAATATAAAATCGTAATTTATAGTCATATAAATGATCTAATGCTAGAGTATTTAACTGCCATTTCTCAAGTACGTTTTTTTTTTAAATACTCATAAATTTAAAAACCTGTTGCAAAGTTATAACTGAAACAATCTCGTTTCGTAAATTTTTATAACCACAGTAAGCGAATGTCTAAAATTAATACCGCTTGAAATTGCACCACTTAAAAAATATTGGTTTTTTATTAGTTCAGTAACGGATAACTTCCTAAAGTCGATCAATAAACCTATTTTACCGCTCACTAGCGGCTAACTTTATTGGAAGTCTTGACGAAATTAGTCACATCCTGACTGAGACTATTCATTAATTTTGGCAACTTTCACTTGGTCTTCGAGGCTGCACTGGACAATTTTGGGAAAGCATCATGTCCATTGTCCACGCCTCCTGCTCATAGATTATAATTTTGGCCACTTTTCGTTTTGGGCCAGGCCAGTGCAGAAAAATGCAGACAAAGCCGCCGTTCGGCTTCGGTTTTATTTCGGTGTTGTGGTGTTTTTTTTCTGAGGAGTTGTTTAGCTTGTGGGACCTGGTCTAGATGTAAGGCCAGCTGCAACCGCAGACAAAATGCGCGGCTTGCTGACCGCACCCCACGTGCTTTTCCAGGTGGGGATCGGCAAAGGCGGGGGTTTTTTGCAAGGGTGGGCATTAAATTTTAGCGCGACCGAGAAAAAAAGACAAAGCACATTGGTAAGAGGAAAACAACGCCAACAGGCAACGGCCAAAAATGCTTCAATGGTTTGTCCAAATGGTTGGCCACAGTTGCCTTTGGCCCGCAGCTGCAGTTAGAGACGCAGACGCCATTGAAAATGCAGTGCTTGTTGCCGGTTTTCGTTGTATATTGGCCAAGTGGAGCTGAAGTTGGAGTTGGCCAGCTGGTGTTTGCCGTTTGGCTTGTGCTTTTCCTGGGCCGCCTTTTTAACTGTTGGCTTTTTCCCTCTTGGGCGCCGAAAACATAACGAATTGTTGTGGCAATCGCTTCGTTCCAATTGAGTGCATGCCACGCCATGAAAATCCAGCGAAACTCAACAGATTTTTGCCACCTAGTGTTGGCCAAATTTATGAACTATAGATCCTTTGTCTGGCTTCAATTCGATTTCTATACGATGCTCTGTAAAGAAGTATATTTAATAAAAAAAACAATCATATACCAATTAAGTAAACAAACACAAAGTTGTGTAAACATTTTTAGGAAAGTTTTCTCGGCGTTAAGTTTGTCTTAAAACGGACCTTAAACTATTTCTATTGAATTTTTTAATTTTGTTGTTTGTATTCTTTTATTAGACATCAATAAAAACATTGTAAAAATTGAGTTTTATATTTCATAAATGGTTCTTGTTGATTTTTAAACCTAATTACCTAGTGCAAATAATGAGTACAATGAGCCATCGATTTTAGATCATTACAATGTCAATACTATCGATGATGTTCCTGCTTTCTAGTAGTTTAACCAAGATTTACTCTTACTCACCTCCCTGATTGCGTCTTTCTCGCATTTCCAATCGCTGCTTTCAATTAACTTGGCGTTCTAAAGAACTCTATTTATGGGACACTTCCATCAGAGCGGCCAAGTTTCGCCATAAATTTGCGAAACACGTTGTAATGCTGTTTGTCAACAGTTGGAACAGTCACATAAATTAAAAACTAGTCAAGTGCGGACTGCAACTGCAGCAGCAGCAGCAGCAGCAGCAGCATCAGCGGCGACAACACCAACAATAGGAGCACCAGCAACAACAAGCCGGCAACATGGTGTTAACATTTTTCGCCCCAAAGCGGGGATGAAGCGGCCACATCCCGACGACTCTTGAAGAAAAAGTGTAGAAAAAAAGTGAGCTGGAAAGGCAGACGAAAAAAAATAAAAAACGAAGGAAAATCTCGTAAAAATCCATGAAAATTCAACAGACGACTTTAGTTGGTGGTGCTGCTGGTGTACTTGAGTTGCTGATGTGCTGCAGTTGCTGGTGTGTTCGTATTGCTGGTCTGGATAAAGAACTCCAACTGCCGGTGAACTGGCAAACGTTGACTTTCTAACTGTTACAAGTCGTTGCTCAAAATGCTTGCGGAGCGGGCGTATTGTTTGCCCAAGTTGTTGCCGTACCTCTTACTTCCCAACAACGACAGCACAACATGGCCAACAGCAACATGGCTAACAACAACAGCCATAGCTGTTCGTGTAGTTGTCAAAGCTTTAAAACGATTTTCGCCTGATTTGACACAAAGGCAACGGCAACGGCAAAGGCAAAGGCAACGGCAAAGGCAAAAAGTTATTAAGGGTACCAGCAGCCAGCCAATTGAGTTGTTCGAGTAACAAATTTATTAAGACCAAAAAATCGAGGGCCCCCGGGGAATGTCGCGAAATAGATTATGTTGGCGGTTGGAGGGTTAATGGCTTGCCGGTGGTTGTTGCTTGGTGAAAGCCACTAATGAGCGGGAAATACACCTCCTGAGAATTCAGAACCCTACCGCAGTCAGCGATGCATAAAAGACGTTTCTTTCTTCTGGGGCGCTTTTTGCTTGAGTTATTTCTTGAACCGCTTCTGAAGACAGGGTGTGTGGGAATTTGCTTATCTGATTGCTGGACGCTTTCTTGTAAGTGGCTGACCAAACGCGTTTTTTGTGTTTGAATAATTATGCCAGCGACCAAGAAGAGTTAAAAGTTTCCCATGCTGCGATCTCTTGTAATTTACATGAACCACATTATTATGCAAATATATATAGCGCCTAACTTTGATTCTCTCTCTCTGTTTTATTTGCAGACCTGGTTCTTTACGGACACGGATGATCACTACTACCAGGAGAAGACAAGTGAGTAGAGGAAGCCATTAGTTATTTAAACCCCTTTCCCTTGATGATGATTTTCGGCCAAAAATTATATTTTCAAGCGAGGAAGAAAAACGAATTTATCACAAAAGAACAACAGCCTCTTTACCTGACCAAAAGCCCCGACCTCTTACCTTTCGATCCCGATTCGGATCCCAAAACCAAAACCCAATCCCTTGCCTTTCATTTGACTGCCTTCGTCTGCCCCGTTCTCAATTTAGTTTCACATCAGCCCAGGACCACGCCCCCAGCACCGCCTAATATTGGCCACTGTCTGGGGCCATCCGAAAACCGATTAAAGTTTATAAATTCCATATCCCATCGAGGGTCAGAGCGAGCGAGCGAGTGAGGAAGCTTCATCACTCACCCGCATTTTAATTGAATTGCAGCCTGGGCTGCGCTTCGATTTTCTTGAGGTTTAATTAAAAAAAAAAGTTCAAATTTCAATTTCGCTTAAAAAAAATTGTATTTCATTTTTGCATACTCCAGCAGACAGAAAACAGAAAGCGAAGAACGCAAACTGTAGAGCACAGAGCAGAGAACACAGAACCCAAAACCCGAGACGATCTCAAGTTTCACACACACACACAGACTCCTTTGGCATTTTGATTAGGCCAAAAGGATTCGGCTAAACACGCTCGGGGATTTTGAGTTATGTGCAAAGCTGGCTGGACAAAGGATAAGTTCGCCAGTCCCCGTTGTCTTGTGTTTAAATATTTCAACAATTTTCATCCAATTAAGGCGCAAAAGTTTTTGTGCGTTGCTCTGCTTTTCGCTTTTTATTTTTTTTTTTTTAGTTTTTTTTTTTTCACTTTTTCACCCTTTTGTCCGCTCGCTCCGCTCACTGGCATCTTTATCTGCGGCGGCGGCGGCTGTCAAACGATACAAAATGTATCCGCTGGATATGAGCGGCATTCTCAACTAACAAGCTACTGTTCGGCGGGCTGCAAAGCCTGGCCTTTTAGTTAATTAACATAGAAGTGGGCCCACGGCCGGCAGCTCCTTCTGTTTCTTGTTGGCCCGCTTAATTACCAATCTTTATCAGCCTTTTCCCCGCCACTCAACCTCTTCTTCCTTCTTCTTTTCAGAGGGCCATCTCATCAACACCAAATGCTCGCAGGGCCATTTTCGCAAGGCGCTCTGCTGCAAAATGTCCGCCGAATTGGATGTCTTTCTGGAGAGCGGCAAAAAGTGAGTATTAAACATATTCAAAATAAGTTATTGCGGAAAGAGATCGAAATTCGCCAGCCAAAATCGTAGGGTTAGATATTGAACTTTATGGCAGCGCAATAGAGCATTTTAGCATTTTATATATTTATCTTTCTATGGTTTTCCAAAGAAAGATAGAACTTATAAATTAATTGAAACGTTTCGATAATAATATCGTTGTCATATCGACAATACCTGGGATACCCGATTATAAATCTAATTCCATAAACAGAAAGATTTGGACTATAAATTCATAGTTCTTTGAATTATAAGTTCATATTCCTTTGAATTATAAATCCATATTCCTTGCCCAGCCATCAAATACACAAAACGTTCGCTTTATATAAGTAAATCTTTATATGCTTATACGATATGTTATATGTTTTGTTCGTTATATATGTCTTTGCTTTGTAATTTCCCCCTAATTGGATATCCATACGTGTGCTCAGCTTCAATTTCATGCAAAATTATGGCATTATCTGGGGAGTTAAGAGGTCAGGTTGCACGTTGCTGCTGCAGCATCAGCAGCAGCATCATCTTCCCGACTGGAACCCCTAAAATGTTGTCATATTTGCGGACCTTTTGCTCGTTCGATGCATTTCTGCTTAACAACTTAAGAGAGAGCAATGACTCTTTGTGGTTTGCTGCTGCCGGCGCAGTTGCTGCTGTAATAATAGACTTTAATGCTTTTAATAAGCGACCGCAGGAGAAGCCCATCATTCTATCCATGGGCAATACAAACACCCAGTTCTCCGGTTGTGCTGCAGCTGCCATGCGTTCTAATTTGCGCAATTAAGACGCAGCAGCAACAGCAAAAGCAACAGCAACAGCAGCAGCAACATCCACTCAAAACTTGTCCAGCGACCGCAGCTCGAGAAGAAAAAGGAGCGAACCAGAAAAGACACTTCAACTAGCGCCCAAAGGAGCAGCCTAGAAATTCCACTTCTCTTTATATTTTCTTCATTTTTATTTTTTTTTTTTCCTTTGCTTATTTGTAATTACACCGAGGAGCAACAGCAACAGCAACAGCAGCAGCAGCAACAACAACATCAGCAACATGAAGAAATCTAGAACAACTTGGACATGCTTGGACTTCGGATGATGAGGATGACGAGCTTGGTGCTGCGATGGCTGCAATAACTGGCTGACTGGATGGGCTGGCTTTCATCTTAAGTTGACTTGCCGTTTTGGCTTAGAACTTGAAACTGTCATTATACGAGCGCGGAGCATGCAATCAATAGCCACGGCAACAGCCACTACAACAAATTGTTGAAACAAAATAAATGGCTGGCAATGAAAATGTGCAGTTATGAGCGAGATGAGGCTGTTGTTGCTGCTGTTTATGTTGCTGTTGATGCTGCTGCTGTTGTTGCTGCTGCCGCTGTTGCTGGTGGGTCCATGTGGATGGCAAAAATGAGACTAAAAAGAGATACGAATGGTATCAGGTGGCACAGGAAACTGGCTTGGGCATCCTTCTGGCTGATTGGCAACGTTTAAGATCCAGCAGCGAGAGCCAGCCAGCACAACATCGAAATCCCTGGGCAAAGAAAAACCCGAGCACAACATGAAAAAGAGGTTAATTAACGTGCATTCGAACTGGCAATTATGCCACGCTGCTTTTCTGCCTCACCCCCATGCTTTTTACAACCAAATGTTGTTGCTGCTGTTGTTGTTGCTGCTGCTGCTGCTGCTGCTGCCGCCGAACGACTCGTACGCACGGCAGCAACATGTTGCTCGCAATTGGTTTTGGGCAACCGTGGGGCGTCTCAGGCAAAAGTAGCACCATTAAATGCAAATCCAGCCAGTTCTTTTAATTGCGTTTTGTGTGAGCTGCTGTAATGTGAATTTATTTGCCATAAAGTTTGAATTATTCGCCCCACTGTGCGGTGGCCGGGGAACGCCTTTCGCTCGCCTTGAATGGCTAATTGCAGTTGCTGTTGCCGCCGTTGCCGCCGTTGCCGCCGTTGCCGCTTGTCGGTGTTGGGTATCCATTATAATACCAAACAATTAGTGCAATTTAATTAAAATTACAGCAGCAACAATAGCAACTGCAAGTCATAGAGAAACAGACAGCCAGGCGATGACCTGGCCCGTCACTCAAGACTCCATCGGAACTCCCACTCTGAGCTGAAGCAAAACCCAACCGGACAGCAATCATCAATTATGAACACATATCGGAATTCCAGGCCACGGAGGCGCCAAAGGTTCCATGTGCCCCACTGTGCGCGACATTTGCCTTTCGGTCGAGGGCTTCGGGGGGTATTTATTAATTAGTTTTGTGTGTTTTCTCGACTCTAAATTCCTTTCTCAACGCTGCCTGGCCTAATCTCTTTCGATTTATTTGTTTCAAGTTCTAATTTATCTCATGTCTGTTGGTTTTGATTTGGGTGTGTGCCTTGCTGGCCACACCTAATGTATGTGAATGTGGCGCAAAACTTGTCAGGCAATTGTATAAACGGCCACTTATCTGATTGCAATCCGAGGTTGCCTCGCATCGCGTATCTCTCGGATCTCTCGGATCTCCCATCTGACGGATACAGATACATGGCTACTCTCTCGACCGAGCACGTTTCGTAATCAACATTTTGACATAACAAGAGCGGAGGGTCCCGAACTCAGGGTGTAATTACGCCACGTAATATGCGTAATATTCACAGCATAAAATGTAAATGGGCCAAAAGAAATGCTGCCGAAGGATGGTTGTTGAGGCATCAGCATCAGCATCGGCATTGGCATCAATCAAGCCCGTTTGATGATGCTGTTAATGCTGCTTGTTACTTTAAAGTCTGTGGGTGCGTGGGAATTCGATTCGCCGCTTGGTTTTCGATACAGTTCATCAGGGAAATTTCCCAGGGCAGGCGGGCCCCCTTTCTACTCGGGGGTTAATCCCACACTGAGCCATAAAATAATAGAGTCGCTCGTAGTCGATCCACAAACGTACATATCCATCTATGGCTGCGACAGTTTTAATCGTGGTCTGATGTCGCTAATGCACTTTCTTGGCTGGAGGGTTGGTAGCTTGTGGTTGCCCATGGTGGCATATGTGAAAAGCCAGATGCTTATGCGGCCGCAATGTGTGAGAAAATGTTCCCCTTTTTTCCACGGTTTTTGCGGCCAGGGGCAGCTATTTATAGAGAGAGTAAAGAGATGCGTGTGAAGTTGCCAGTTTTCCTTTTGGGGGAAAATGAAGAGCCATGGCGACACTCACACACCCCACACCGCTTACAAACGCATCAATTTCATTTATTTGCCACTTGTGGCAGCACCACAACAATCCCAATTATTCAATTGATTGCAATGGTGAAAGGGAGAACAACGTGCATTTGTTGACATTGCCGCCGTATGGAAAAAATTCTCAAATCTTTGTCGGAATTGTGGCAGCGGAAACAGGCAATTTCACCGCAATTGCAACTGTGCAACTGTGCAACAACAACTGCAACAGTAATATATATATGCATATGGAGTTGGACTAGGAAATGCAATTGCTACTCCACATCCGGGAAGTGGCTTTGCTTTGCTCTACATTTCAATTAGCGCCTCTCGCCAACACACAACCTCACACCCACACCTAAACGCACACCCAAACGCACATCCATACCCACAACCATTCGCATAATCGCCGGCAATTGCCATCAATTTGCGGACTCAAGTGCGCGCATCCACAAGATACCGATACACTGTCTCAGAATTAATGATTTGCTTTGTCAGGCTCGGACGACGCCAGTTGACAAATGCGTTTCAATTGTTTGCCCAGCAGCCCAAGAGAAATGCTTTTGTAGATGCGCAGGCGCACAGCTTCGAAAATATCTGACTCATTTAGATGCACAAAGAAAAAATATCAAATATTCATTCAAATTGTATGTTATTGATTTAAAAAATGTAACTGGAATTTATACCTTAATTTTAGAAGCAGGGAGTTTTTAATTTACAGCTTCAGAAGAAGGCAAAAAGCAGTCCCTTTCTCTAAAAATTTAAGAACTTTAAGTTAATAAGCTTTTAAAAAAAATGATCAAAATTTTGGTATGGCTTAAATATTCTGGCAAAAACTGCAGGCTTATGATAATTTATACTTCCAATTATATTTGTATTATTTTGTTATTTATTAACATTTGTATTTTTATTTTATGTTCTTTATGTTTTTGATTCAAAAGAATAATCAGTTCAATATCCTCTGGCTTGGTGATTTAAATGATTGTTACTCATTTAAAATCTTTAAAGACCACATTAAAAATCAGTTTTTTCTCCGTGCACTCTTAATGGAAAGCATCGAAAACTGCATTCGAAGTGGGAAGATTAATTTCCCTTTCAGCTCTCGATGCAGTCACCAGTCGTTTTGTGGCTGCCTCTGTTAATGAGGCAAACATTTTGGTTGACTTAAGTGGACGGACTGCTGCTTAATGTAAATATCTTGTTGTCTGCCCCCACGGACAACATGACACATTGATTTGTATCAATCCGCGAAACTCGAGACCCGAAAGATACTTTCTGCTGTTCGGTCAGATGACAGCTGACTTATTGCTAATTGCAGGAGAGCCCGTTCCTGCCACATTTCGAAAGGAGAGGAGTCGAAAAACATAAACCAAAAACAAAAACAAAAAACGAATCTGAATCCAAATCCAAATGAAATCAGTTCGTCATCGTCGTCTGTCGAGGTTTTTGGCGATCGCTTATCTCTGGCCGGCTGTCAAAATACTTTTAGCGCGGCCTGTTCGTTCGTTACTAAGTTGCCTGCCGCTCTTAATGCGAAATCTATTAAGCCCCGTCTTGGGTCGCCTGCAACTCCAGATATATCTCCTTCGGCCGACTTGAAGTGCCCCGTCAATCATTTTTTATTGTGGCTCCAGACATAAACTCATTTCGCCTGCAATGTGGAATGACGACGCAGCCGCCAACGCCCCGCCAGCGGGTTTATATTTTAGTGGGTGAAAGGGGGTTAAGTGTGGGTCGGAATGGGGGGCGGGACGGGACGGAGCTGGAAGAAAGAGCCCAGCTGGCAAACTGATCGAAATCTGCCCACATCAGCAGCAACAACACATCGGCCAAAGCTATGGCTATATGGCAACAGCAGCTGCTGCCGCAGCAGCGCGAATAAATGGAAAAACGGCTATGGAAATAAACTAAAGTTTGCACTCGTTTCGCATTTCAATTTTTCTCGGCCAACGGCCACACACTCATATGCACTGGGAGAATTTTGGGTAAATTCTAGTTAGGTAGTCGGTTATTTTTGTATATACTTTAGTTCACTTGGCTTAAACACTTTTTATTGGTTTTAACTTGTTAATTTATAAAAAATACATGGTTTAAAATTGTATTACTTAGCTAAAATAAACAATACAAAATAAGAAGTTAAATACTTAAAACACATATTCATAATATGGTTTTATTGTAATAACAATTTAAAAATTCATATTTGCGTTATTTGTTTAGCGTTTATTTCTATGACTTTTTTTTTAACAATTTATGCTTATATAAGATATCTTAATTTCGATTAACATTTATTGTATAGTATGAAAGACACAAAAATATAAAGTATATATTAAAAAAATGAAATAATTTTTCTTTGTGCATTGAAGTGCAATCCGATGCAGAGATAAACAAAGAAATAGAGAACCGACAAAGACAAACCCAAACCCAAAACAAACAAACAATTTTCGAAACGGGGAATCAGAGAAAAGCCACCATCAGCGATCCCCGAATCGATAACCCGAATCGAAAGAACCGCCGAATGAAAACATTTTCATAAATGCCAATGAAATCAAAGAGGGGGTATAGCGTTAATTAAACGACAACGAACATAAACTAGCGTATAGATTTCAATTTGGAAAACAGGGAAAGCAGCTGCCTACGATGAAATCGGGAAGGGGGACTGCGTAATGTATGCTCTGTGCATAATTAAGCAAATTAAACGCGCATTTTTATGCGTCACGAAGCGACTAAACTGTAAAGGAAGGGAAAAATAGGAGGGATTTAGAGAGGGGAGGAACCGGGAGTAGCGGCCTTTTCGCACAGGTATCGCATGTGGCTGCCACAACAGCAGCAAAACTCGTAGACAACAGCAGCAGCATCATCCAGTCAGGCAATTTATGAATGCCAGGCTTAGGAGTAGCATCTACCACTCCGAGTACCACACACACAATATATCCAGCTCCTCCTCGCCCTCTCACCTCTATCTGGTCGCGGCTTATGCAATAAAAATTATATTAAATTACCCAACAGACGCAACAACAAGCAAAGACAAGACAAGCCAATCCTCCAAGATTCGATTCGATTTTATTGAATACTTACGAGCTCAACGAAAGTCGCGAATCCCCCATGAAATGTGTTTGCCAAGTCGAAGTTGGGGATACACTTTTTGGTTGTAAAGAATATTGAGCAAAACTAAATTATTTAAGTTTTTTTTTTGGTTAAGAACTGTTCTTTAAAGTGTCGAGTTCCCAAGAAAGGTGCCAAACAAGTCGAAGCTTTTGATACACTTTTTGGGTGTAGAAAATATAATATATAAATTGGAAATCATTTTGTGTTTGTAATTTGAAATTCAATTTTGTTGAGCTTAAGGCTAGTCAGCAAAATCAGCAAAGAACTTTATTTAAATTTACTTTTTTAGTATAGAAAATATATATTGCAAACTATTTATATTGTTATTTATTTATTTATTTAATTCTTTTAAGATCAATTATTTTAAATTACATTGTTTTAAAGCTAAGGGCTAGTCTACAAATAACTTTTATTAAACATATAAAATCTCAAAGCTAAATCTTAACAGTTTCAAAAATAGTGTTTCTTTAAACAAGCTGCTGATAAAGATAAACAGAAAGCGTAATCAACCTAGTTAGCCAGAACACCGTAGAGTATGACTTGCAAATTTCTCTTTATCTTGAGCCTCCCCAATGGATTCCAAGCGAATTCCCGCGTTGCAAAGATATCCCCAAAGGGGAAGATCCCCTCGACGAACAGGGAACACTGCACCCGAAGCTCCCCCCAAGATAATGATGGCCAGCGTGGACCTTTCAGCTGCCGCTTAATGCCATCATTAGTCCACCGTGGGCTACCGGATATGGCTGATCGTTTGTCACTATAAAAACTGCAGCTGCAGTCGCCGACTTGCGATCTTTATCTACCTCCAGCCCCCCACCCTCCGGTAATTGCAGTCTAAATTAGTGCACTCTTTATGCGGCTTAACGGAAACAGCCTTGTGAGGGGGGTCCGCATATATGCTTTATTGCCTAAACGAATCGATTTGGATGGAGACTAGCGGGGTTAGCGGGGCTTAGTTGTGCCGACTAGCCGGATATGCAAGAGCTGCGAACGCCATAGATGACGTCGTTGGCTTCGGGCAGTTTGCAGACTTTGCCCGAAGCAGGACGATTGAGTCGCTGTTTTAGGACCTTCAGATCGAGATTGTTGACTCGCACCATTAGGGTGGGTTCCTTCTCCACGGATCGGCAGACGACGGTCTTGTGGCAATTCTGAGGTTGTCCCGGCAACATGGGCATAGGCCTCACCCTGGCATCGGGCAAAACGCCCACGATCTGGGGGCCCACATCGACGCCGACATTGGTGCTGTTGCAGGAGAGGCAGCAAATGCCCGAATTGATGAAACCAGCTGCTCTGGGACAGGCGTCTCTTTCCTCAATCAATCTCAAGCGCCGATCAATGTCGTCGAAGTGATCCCGAATGTACTTCTTTAGCGCCGGCATGTGCACCTTGTCCAGCTTGCTGTCCAGCATGTCCTGCAACTCCTCCATGGTGCCAATGAACGTGATGTTATACTCCTGGATCAGATTGCGCAAGTTCTCGATCTCCACCACACACTGCTTGACCAGTTCCAGGCGCTTGAAGAGCGCTTCGGTTTGCTTCAGGAAAGCCTGAAGTGTGAGGTAGAACATCTCCAGCTTCCTGCTGACCTCCTCCATCTGGTCCACAATCGGGGTGGCTATGTGCCGCATTAGCTTCTTCATGAAGTCCATGTTGCCCAGCAGGCTGCAGGCGATCTTGTTGTCCTCATCGCAAACGGTGCAGAGATCCTCACACGGCGAGGCATACTGTTCGGCCTGATGGACCTTGAACTTCTTGTCCTTGGTTTTGTTGCAAATGCGGATCTGCTGGAAGTGACACTCCACTTGGCACTCCAGCTTCTTGATGCGCTGCTCCATCTCTTGCACTCTGTCCAGCTGCTCGGAAATGGGCACAATTGCCTCCACATCAAAGGGTAGGGGTGAGATCTTGGACTGTTCTAAGATGCGCTCCATGCACTTGCCCTCGAAGCCTCGAATGCTCACCATATCATTCTGGCAGTTGAGTTTTTTGAGCAGGACATTCAACAGACTGTGGAGTACGGCCACATTGACGTGGGTCAGCTCGGGTACACCCAAAGCAATCCTAGTCATCTCCTCCAGCGTTATTTCCACATTTACGGGCATTGTGAATTGTAAATAGTTTAAATGTTTTTATTTAAATAATTTGTAACTCTAACTTGTGTGTTAATCTGAGTCTGTTGCTCTGTGTTTTTTTTTTCAGATGGTTCTGTCACTTTGACGATGACAACTATGTCAATGTGCCGCGATTGGTTAAACTGCTGGACGAGTATAGTCCCAGTGTGGATTGGTATCTGGGCAAGCCGAGCATCTCGTCGCCGCTGGAGATCCACTTGGACAGCGTAAGTGCAAATGCCTGTTATTTCTGCATATTCTCCTATATAGTTCGTAATTACATGCCTGCCTGCGATCGCCTTTCTCCATCTTTTGGGCCGCAAACAGAGCGGGGCCGTTATTTATGTGGCCACCATGGCCATTTGTCTATGCCGCCATTTGGCTTCCAGCTGCCAGCGCAAGCTATCATTAATAACCGATATGATCTGGCGCGGCAAAGGCAATAGCAATAGCAATAGCAATAGGAATAGCAATAGCAAGGCAACAGGCAGCCAGTCCCAGTTTGAGTCCGAATTTGAACCCGTTTTCCAGAGCAAGCCATTTGAAATATCGCCAGCTGATCCCGTAATGAATGTGCAGGCCATAGTTTTATCGGCTTAGCCAGCAGTGGCCAGGGATGGGAGCCAACAACAGCAGGTAGTTGGCTGGGGCCAAACCCATTCAAAAAGTGGCACAACTCGATCCAACCCTGATCGCAGCAGCGTGCATAATTAAAAAGCCCCAAACTTTACGCTTCATTTGCGGGAGAAAGATCCTGTCAAGTCTCGGCTTACGCTTTGGCCAGACAGACCCGTGTATTAAGTTTCCAACTCGCACATGTCCATTTACATGGTCAATTAATCAAGCCACGTTTCGTGTTTTGGCCTGGCTTGGCTTGGCTTGGTTCTTTTTTTTAATTTCAAGTCAATTTTCTCTGGGCCACTGCCAAAAACCAGAAATGAGATTGAAAAAAAAGGGATATTTACTTGGATTTATCCTTTGGTCCAGCCATCCTCTTGTGGACCCATTCATGAGCCAGTTCTTCCGTTAATCTTGCCCCTTTTCTTTTCTTTTCTTTTCTCTTCTTTTTATTTTTTGGATCCGCAGAAGAACACGACAACCAACAAGAAGATAACCTTCTGGTTTGCCACTGGCGGCGCTGGCTTCTGTCTTAGTCGAGCCCTGACTTTAAAAATGCTGCCCATAGCAGGTGGCGGCAAGTTCATCAGCATTGGCGACAAGATACGTTTTCCGGATGATGTCACAATGGGTTTTATAATAGGTGAGTTTGGGCTTTGGATGCCACCCCAACAACCTTGAACCTTTACTAACACATTTGTTTTCACAGAACACCTACTGAAAGTACCTCTAACAGTGGTGGACAACTTCCATTCGCATCTGGAGCCCATGGAGTTCATACGCCAGGATACGTTCCAGGACCAGGTGTCCTTCAGCTATGCCCACATGAAGAACCAGTGGAACGTGATCAAGGTGGACGGCTTCGATCTCAAGGCCGATCCCAAGCGATTCTACTCCCTGCATTGCCAGCTCTTCCCCTACTTCAGCTTCTGCCCGCCCAGATGAGCTGGGCAACCATGATACGATCCGATCCCGATCCCGATCCCGATCCGGATCCCAGGGGATCGATCCCATTTGGCTGTTGCAGGCGCACGTCTGCACTGGATCGGTTGTGAACCGATGGGGCAGGCGTCAAAAACAAATCTCGCCACTGTGATTTATGATATAGTTTAATGATAGTTTATGGTATACGCCGTATACGGTATGTGGTATTCGAGCAACGAAAGGTTCTTTGTATATATAGAGAGCAGTTTGCATACTGGATAGAAGTGCTTCCTAATGGTATAAGTTTTACTGTAGCTCTAGGTCTTGCAATTCCAACACAATTCCAAGTGCTTCCCTATAGCGTTACACGGATTCTTCCAATCGACTTAGTGCGTAGTTAAATTAATGGTCTAGTCTACGTTTAAGTTAACTTAGCTGATCAGAGAGACCGCTTGACCCTCTGCTGTGTAATACTGTAATGCAGTCTAATATTTGCCTAAACTAGCAATATGCGTGTATATAGTAGATTTATCTAACTAAGAAATGTTTAAATAATTTTGTTAATTTTTAGTTTGCTTGAATAAAAACTGAATATTTTATTGAAATATTTGTTTTGCTTACCATTCTACTTTTTTGTACGTATTTGGTAAGTATTTGGCTTTTATATTAGTAAGGCTGTTAACGTTAAGCCAACAAAGGTAATTATCTAAACTGTTCAGTGCGGATCTCATTGATAATATTTCCATGGAATAAAAATACTGATGAAATTCTGAAAGAAAATGAAATATTTTATGACTCAATGATTTAATAATTTCCAGAGCAGGCTTATAAATTCCTATGAACGACATAATCAATGAAGTGGAAGCAGTAATTTAACTTAAGTCCAATTAAATTGAGTCCAACATTTAAAGAGGATCAATAAAATTGTAAATTAACTGGCACACAATTGGCTTATAACAGTTTTTATATCCCCTCCACATGAATAATGCTGCCCATTAAAATGCGAAAAAGTCTCGAATGGCAGACAGCATTTGGGAATGCAAATCTGCCTCGAGGGTCCTTGAACTTCGATGTTTTCGACTTGTTGGCCCAGCGATGTTGTTGCGGTTGGCCGGCTTATCGGTTTCGTGTCACCGAACATTCTGTCTACTTGTTGTTCCAGCCAGCTTTCAGCTTCCTGTTGCTGTGCGCATTTTGCATTTTTGCGAAAATTCGTTGTTAATTAACGCTAAAAGCCATGTTTAAGCCGCTAAAGCGTTAACTTTCAGGCGATATGGATCAGAGACGGTGCGGCTTCGAAGACGACGGGAGAACGAGTGAGCCAGAGAGGCACATAGATAGACATTGACATGTCCACGTCGATGCCCGACGATGCCCGACGATGTCCATGTCCATGTCCTGAGCAGACAATGCTCTCCGTCCGACTGAGTTGAGGGTGCCTCACGATACGGCATCTCGGCTCCAATGACATGTTGCGAATTTTTATAAAAGACTCACTCGACCGGCAGTTTGTGGCCCGGCTCTCGTGATATGTTAAACAGTTCTGGGCAATTATTTTTTGCCTTTAAGCCGTTCAAGCTGCCCGAGTGGCTGTATCCAGTTTTTAGTTGGCTTATATGCAGATAATCAGTTTTTAGTCCATGTCGGAGCTCAGTTTGGGGCGCGCTTTAATGAATGAATGCTGCCTGCAAGGAGCGATCCCCGTCTGCCCGTCTGCCTGGCTGCCTGTCTGTCTGGCAGGAGAACAAGGAGCTGGAACTGCAACTCTGGTGTCTTGTTCGTTTTAATTGCAAGTGAAATCCTTGTCAGCGCTGTCGGGCTGAACGTCTGGCCGTCTCAGAGCCACAGCATCGATAATGAATTAATTATCATATATTAAAAGTCAGTTTGCAGCAGTTGCCCCCTGATAATCTGCTTTGCCCGGGCACGCCTTTGCATATTTTACGGATTTCAGAATTTAATGAACTTCAGTCTGGTAAGCCTCATGCCCAAATTCTCCATTGGTTTTGCGGCACACGCATCTCTTTGGCTTTTTATTTTCTTTGGATTTTTCATTCATCACTTCTAAACCACAAATGAGAGATAAAGTCGTAACCGAAAATCCAGTGGCAATAACAATGGCAACCCAGCAGTATTTTTCATTTCGACTTGGCGCCGCCCACGAAACCGAGTTAACAACGGATGGGTTTCTTTTGTCCAAGACCGTTTAATTTGCGGTTAGCTGCGGCCAAGTGATTCATTAGATACAAATTGTGGCGACTCCCCCGAATTCGTTCCCATGCTCTCGATTTATGCAAAATCATAATTTTAATTGAATCTCTCCGCTGGTATTTGGGTAAAGGATTTGGGTTCCCGGACAGCAAGTGCTCGAGCACTAAGCCCTGTATTTTTAAGGGTCTTTTCTTTCCTCCGCTCATTTGTATGCAGAGCAGGCGACGAGGCGCAAATTACACGAGAAAATGTCCGAAACAAGCTGATCGGTAAGCGATAAGGAACGCAAAGCATCTCGTAGATGCGCAGGCCTCACTGCGTGCTCAGTGTATCTCAGCGATACTTATCTTCAGGCAAACCCTGTCAACCTCGGGGTTTGCATTCAATTTTGGCTGCCAGCGAAATGCCTTAGTATCCACCTCAACTCTGAATCTCTGCGAGCCACCATCGAACCGGTAGCCAACCTTTTTTGGCCGCCAAGGCAAGCAAATAATTTGTCCGTCTGTCGCTGCGTCCTCCTGAACTGCCAGTCTTTCTGCCTGTCTGTCAGTCACTCAACTAGTCCGCAAACTATAAATTAGTGCAGCAGCAGGAGCTTTTGGAGAGATGGAGCTGGGACTGGAGCTGAAGCTGAAGCTGGAGTTCGAGTTTAGAGTCCAGCGCAACACCCAAGTGTGCCAGCCCCTGAATTTATGTTGTGCATGCCAGCGATCGGGGCGTGGATGCGGAATGGGGTTCGCTATTCCAGCCCCGTCGCAGGCATCGCCATCGCCAGCAGTTCGGCATCAGCAGCAGCAACAGGTGAAACGAGCAGCAGACTAGATCAACTGCCAGGCGGTGGAGAGTGCCAGAGCTGCTCGTACCCTCTAATTGTGGGGTATATGCAGCTAACAATGTTAAGGTTTCTTTACAAGCTAAATTATCACAGAAGTTTAGGTTTCATTACAAGCTAAATTATCACAGAAGTTTCTTAAGAATCAATATGTCTTGTCCTGAAAATCTTAAAAAACTTTCTCATGGCTGAAATGTTCTTTCCAGCTATTAACATTTGCCTGTAAAAAATTTAATCATATATTGTTTTCAAGTATATATAATCTTTTTTATCAAGTCTGAATATTTGTATTACCCTAAAAGAGTAATCCCTAACATATAACATTGAGAAGCGAAGAGAAGGGCGCTGTTAAATTTACAGAAGCTACAAGCAACAGCAGCTACTTCGGCCATTTAAATACAAGAATGTTCCAGGGTATTTCCTACTTTCCATAGCAACGTCAACGGGTGAAATATGCTTCCCTGTCTATAATTGGAAATGTGGGGCAGCGAAATGAACTGCAGTTGCTGCTGCCAACCCGCTCATAATTTAAAGCTGCCGTTGCAGTTTATGGCCCCAACTTGGCTAAATTATGTAGAGTCGGGCGGTTCTCTTCCAGGCGCTTTTTACCGGGCACATGGATTTCTTTTGCGATCTCAGATAGCCAACAACAGATAGTCGCAGAGCACAGCTGCAAGCTATTAGCGTTTGCCAAAGATACTTAACGGTCAGCACAAGTTGCAAGCAGGAAAAGCTGACGCAAAAGCAACAGCAACAACAACGGCAACGGCAACAAGGGCGAACAACTTTATTCGGGCGCATCGGAGGAGGAATCTTCAGTTATAGTCCCTTCTCTCAATCACTGATCACCGATCCCTGGCAGATTCCGTCAGCGATCCTACGCCGAATTCGCAATGGATTGCGGACAAGCGGACCGATGTTGCCGCTTGCCAGTTGTCAAAAGTCGCCGCTGGGCGTTGTGATGTTGCTGGTGGCGTTGTTGACGATGCGTTAAAACCTTTTCTCGATGCTTATCGCCCCATCCAACTTCTCAACTTCTCATTCCCCTGTTGGTTTGCTTTGTGGGGTAATTGTTTTCGAACGTGGCCGGCGGTAAACAACAACAATGGTAACAACATTGCTCATGTTTCACTCAAAATGCGATAAAGATAAAGGGAATGCTCTGTTGTCGGTCGTATGACCTGGAAAATGTTTTGCGCCTGCGCAACGTTTCTGTTTTATTTTTTTTCTTTTTTCAGCCTACACATCATCAAACGGGGCAGCAACAAAAGCAAATGACGACCTTATCAGTTCAAATTAATCAGGCGTTGCCTCTTGTTCCTTTGGCACGCACTTGAAACAAGCCCAACAGAAAGAGATGGCCATATGGGGAGTGAGAGAGAAGGGCATAGAGTGCGAGAGTGAGAGGGTACATCTTTCAGCGCCAGGTTTGCGTTGTCTTTTTGTCTCATTTCAATTGTTTGCTCTGTCAAAATTTACATCACTTGGAGTGGCAAAGTAAGTGGAAGAAGAATCTAATAAAAGGTGACGGGAAAAATAGAAAAAAAGAAGCAGATTCAATTCTCCTTCTTAAGGTACAGTAACAATATACTATATTGAATTTTATTATTTAGAAATAATAGTTTTTAGATTTTGTTTATTTTATTTAAATATCAATCAAATTAATATTTTGTTTAACTCTTTGATATTATTGTTTAAAAATCGTATGTGGTAATTTCAATATATTACTAATACATTGTCCTGATCCTTATTTTAATATAAAAAGTTTTGTCATATAAGACTAAAAACTAATTTTAATCCAAACCTTTTTAGAGACTGATATTTAATTTAATTATTTAATTACTCACAGAGACATTACTGTGCCGTATGCTCAACTAAAAGTGGAACCCCTTGTGGGCCCCAAACACTCTTGTATTTTGAGTTGTGTTTTTTCTGTGCCCCTTGTTCGTCTTATCAGCGGCTTTTGGCCCATCTGAAGTGGCCCAGTGTAGTTAGTCATTCCCGGCCATCCGTAGTTCATTTGCCGTTTTCATGTTTCACTGGAAATCACAAAAACAAAGGCCGCCAGGGTACTTAAAATTGTTAAATTCGAGTCGGGGGGGTAGAAATGCGGACTATCTCCCGGTTTAAATCTCTGAAGTCTGAAGAGGTGAAGAGTTCTTCGCCCCGTGGGCGTTGGCGTTGGTGTGGCCAGCGGCTATTATTGCCAACTCATTTTCGTACGTTCTCCCACAGAATCCGAGGGGCTATGGCACACGCCCACTTCGGAAGCCATAACTTCTGACATTCAAACTCACACTCGCACACATTCGCACACACTCCTTCGACCGCTGGCACACGAACAGCGCCTATAATTATGAACCATAATGCAAACATGTGCGAAAATAACGAAAAAGACTGCTAAATGGGAGAGTCTTGTCCGCGGCATACCCTCTATTCTCCAATTTTGGCGGTGTGCCAATGAAGGTGGTGCATACACTCGGAATAAATATGTTTTTTGACCACAAAGAAACTTTATGGTTTTTGGGACATAAATCAAAGCTTTAAGTTCGTCTTGCTTGT